CCTGCTCGGCGGGGGGTCTGCTTCTCCTTCTGACCCTCTTCCCTCTCGTGCTCTCTGTCTCTCATTCTCTCTCTCAAAAAAAAATAAATAAAATCTTTAAAAAAAAAAGTATTTTAATGAAGTTTGGAGGGGAGATATAGATACATGTAGATAGGTAGGTATATAGAGACAGGTATATATGGTCATTTATGTATGGCCATTTTTAAAAATTAATTAATTTGACAGATTGAGAGCACGCATGAGCAGGGTGAGCGGCAGGCAGAGGGAGAGGGAGAAGCAGGCTCCCCACTGAGCAGGGAGCCCAACTTGGGGCTTGATCCCAGGACCCTGGGCTGAAGGCAGTCGTTTAACCAACTTAGCCACTCAGATGCCCCATATGGATGGCCATTTTATATACATAAATATATATATTCTCTACCTTCTCTGGCAATTGGAATGTGGATGTTACTTGAAGAACAGACCATCTAGGTCTCAAGATTTGGCTATTAAAAAAGGATCAGATGAAAATACAATTAATGTAAGTGCACTACGACATGCTGTGGGGTTGACCAAATAACAACACCCATAGTTATGATAACGACATTAAAGTGACAGTAATTTATAATTAATAAACAAGAAAAGGGGCATGTACGAACCAAATGCCATCCCAAGACAACAGAGATAACACAAGCAGCCTCTCTGAAAATTAGGGTACTTCTACCACCTGTGGGTACCTATTCAGAGCAGAAACATTGCAGCATTGGTAGGCAGCTGTGAAGGCAGAGTCTGGGGAGTAGTTTGGGGTCCAGCTTGAAGAAGGTCCCATTGCTTCTATGGTATTTGTCTCAGTAATGCATAATAATGTCAATCTAATTATGAGAAAACGTCAGATAAGCCCAAATTACCAGTCATTCTGAAAAAGATTCAACTGGTGTTCCTCAGGAGTGTCAAGGTGTCATAAAAGACAAGGGGAGGCTGAGGAACTGTCACAGAGAAGAGGAGACTGAGGAGCTATAACAGCTGAATGCAATATGACATTCTGGATTGGTCCTGAAATAGAAGAAGAACATTTGTAGAAGAACCAGAGAAATCCAAATAAAGTCTGCAATTTAGTTACTACTTGTTACTAGTAATGTAATGTAGCATTGTTAACTTACTCACTTTGATGATTGTACTGTGATTATCTTGAGATGTTGACATGAAAGGAACGATGGTGAAGATAGACCAGAAGTTTCCACTATTTTTTTTTAAGATTTTATTCATTTATTTGAGAGAGAGCATGAGCAGGGAGAGGGCCTGAGGGAGAGAGAGAGAATCTCAAGCCTACTCTGTGCTGAGCATGGAGCCCAACATGGGGCTCGATCTCCCAACCCTGATACCACAACCTGAACTGAAATCAAGAGTTGGACACTTAACCAACTCAGCCATCCAGGCACCCTAGAAACTTTCCACTATTTTTGCCCCTTTTCTGTAAATCCAAAATTATTTCACAATAGAAATTGAAAAAGTACTTTTATTTGGTAATGTGTGGACATTCTGCAATAGCTGAGCATTACAAAATCTTGACTTAGCCAACCTCTTCAGCACATATCCCCCTGCACATACTTCTGTTTTCTGGCTATATTAAATCATTTGTTGTTGTTAATTAGCTCCTTTGGGGAGATAGAGGAGAGTAATACAGTTTTTGTATATATTACAAAATATTATAACCAGTGTAATAAATAGCTGTATACACCTCATTTTAGAACACTTCATTTTTTAAAAAATATTTTTATTTATTTATTTCAGAGAGAGAATGAGAGAGAGAGAGAGCATGAGAGGGGGGAGGGTCAGAGGGAGAAGCAGACTCCCTGCCGAGCAGGGAGCCTGATGTGGGACTCGATCCCGGGACTCCAGGATCATGACCTGAGCCGAAGACAGTTGCTTAACCAACTGAGCCACCCAGGCGTCCCAGAACACTTCATTTTAAGAAATATAGCAAGGCAGTGAAGACCCACTGTGTTTCCTTTCTTTGTGTTATTCTGCCCCTTCATCTCCTACTGCCACCACCAAACTGCTACCACTTGGAGATAATCAGTGGAATTTGCTATTTAAGAATCCTATTTTGTTATTTTGCATTTTTCCAAACTTGACATAAATTACACTCTGTGATATCATATCTAGAACTTGCTGGTTTTTTTGCTCCACATGTATGTCTAATTCATTCTTTTTCATCACTATGTAGATTTCCACTGTATGAATACCCAGTATTTATTCAATCTCCTGCTGGCAAGCATATTGAGAATGTTTTTTTATTTATGGTTGTTGATTTTTAAAAGTATTTTCTGAGACCAAAATTGAGACCAAAATTACTGTTTCTGAACTCCAGTAACACTATCCACAACTTTTAACTCAGTATTTGTGACCTTTCCATATGAGTATTTCTCTTTTCTCTTACATCAGATGGAAAGCTTCTTGACGATCTATTTCCCCAAGATGAACATTATTGGGATAATAAGTATCTAATTTTGTTGAATAAGTAAGTAAATACTTACGTGAATTAAACACTGTCTACATACAGATCTTGGGCATATTTGTGTTTATTCCCTTAGTTGTTACATGTTGTTGCCTTCTGGAGCTTTTTCTCTGTTAGAAAGATTTATACAATGTGGGAATCTGGCCACTGAGGTGGAAATATAGGGCATAAATAAAGCCTAAAACTTTAACTTGAGAAGTTAAAAGCTAAGATTGCAGACAACACAGGTACGTGGTTTTTTTGTGTGTATATGTGTTTAACATCCTAGGGAAACTTCGATAAAGTTAGTAATAATTTTACCTGCATTTGGTAACTTATTGTATGACAGAACTCTTTTGTGCATCATTCTTGTTAGAAAGCTTACCATTGGGGCACCTGGGTGGCTCAGTCGTTAAGCGTCTGCCTTTGGCTCAGGTCATGATCCCAGAGTCCTGGGATCAAGCCCCGCTCAGCCAGGAGCCTGCTTCTCCCTCTCCCGCTCCCCCTGCTTGTGTTCCCTCTCTAGCTGTCTCTCTCTCTCTGTCAAGTAGATAAATAAAATCTTAAAAAAAAAAAAATTTACTATTTGCCTTTGATCATTTCGAATTTGTACCCAGAATTAGTTTTGCTGAAATTAGTTTTTTCCTCCAAGACTGTTTTATTCTCAATATGCTTGCCAGCAGGAGAATAGATAAATACTGGGTATTTGTACATTGTTGCTCTTACTCTGCAAAAGCACTTAACAGGTTTCACAGCTCTGGTGCCCATCTTGTTGGATTTCTGTAGCCGCTTTGGCAGAGATAGGCAGGGCTAGTATCATCCATATTTTACAGGTTAGGAACAGTGGAAAGGAAGCTGAGGGAGTTTGAAGGACTTGCTCAGGGTCGCAGAACAGAACCAGAAAGCAGATCTTTCAACCTAGTCCTGGCTCTGTCTGGACATTAGTTTCAATGCTTAAAATAATTGAAAGTATTAATCAAGATGTTATTGCTTCACGAGAATTTTAACAGGTAATTCAGTAACATAGTGCCCACTTGACAGTTTATCATAGTAGTATGGGGAGTTTCTCATCAGTGTTACTGGTAGATTAGTAACTGCCTTTTTACTGCCTCTTTGTTGGAAGGGTTCACAAAAAAGCTTAAGCCAAACATTGCAAAAGAGCATGTTGTGACTGGTGTGTATTTTAATGGAAAGAAAAATCTTACAAGTAAAACTGAAAGGAAGGTGTGACACAATCTCAAGTTAAAATATCTGAGAAGACAAATGGCCTTTTGGTAGCTTGAGACCTACAGATGAATTAAAAAAAACCTCTCGGCATATAGACTGAGGAAGTTGGTCACTCAAATTGTAATTTTAAAAAATGCAGAAGCAGTATACTTAGAATATTGTCTTCATGTCAAAAATGCACCTTCGTGCTTGAAAATGATAAAAAATTACAATCGATCCTTACAACTGTTCTGTTCATCTTTATTGATCAGGTGCAAGAAAGATAAATCGCAGCCCAAATAAGATTATAGTAAATGTTAGCATCGTAGGGGACTCTAGGTTGATAGAGAGCCATTCATCATCTCAAATGGTGACCTGTCCACTGCTCCAGCCACCCTGAGTCTGCTGTCTAATCACATACCTATTGATTTTATCTACATCCAACAAACCTGGATGTGACTGTCATTGGGCAACCCAGATTGTTAAATGCAAAGGGGTCACTGATGTGAAGAGGATTTCATTTTCATTTTCTCCTCAACCAACAATGATTTATTAAAAAATAAACTACCCCAAGTCATGCTTGTGAAACCTGAGTGATTAGGGATTGAAGGTGCACAATAGACCACTGTATTGTGTAGTGTTCTTTTGTACTGGGACACATTTTGCAGGATATTTCATTGAGTCTAAAGGTTCCTGGGGTCATTTAGGCTACCCCCTGCAGTAAGACAGGTTTCAAAGTAGCCAGCCAGAATAGACAGTTTTAAATTTTTCTGCCTCAGGAAAGGCATTACCTTCCTATTACAACTTGATTTATGTTCATTTATGTAATAGTGGAAACTTTTTTTTTTTTTTTGGTGTAAAAATTACCTAAATCCGTCCTCTGTTCTTACTGATTAATTTGTTATAAATGTTGATGCTCTTGCGGTCATATGGAGGTGATAGAACACATTCTACTCCATAAAGAATCCATCTCAAGGACAAAAATACCATGTTAAAAAAAAATGAACCTTGAATATCCTAGGTAGAACATTGGAATAGTAGGCAAAATATGTTAAGAATCTTCTCATGGGATCCAATAATGATGCATTTTAACCATGAAAGTTTATTTTAATTATAACTTGTATGCCAGCAGACATACTGTTATTTAAATGGACACCTTTACATGCATTTTTAGAAGTTGCTATGCCACTTTTGGAAGAAATCTTTGTCCTTTTGCTTGAATGGCGGAACAAAGATTTTATGTATTTTTTGTCATTGTAAGCCCTGCACACATTTTGTCCTCTTGGACAGTGAAAACTCTACTATCAATCTTTGTCCACAGAGCTCAGAATTCTACAAAGTCACCACTGAACAATATCAGAAAGCTGCTGAAGAGGTGGAAGCAAAGTTCAAGTAAGTTTTTAACACTATTATAATTATTTACTGTTCTTGACAAGATGCAAGTACAACTTTATTGCTTTTTGCACAGAAGATAGTTTGTTGTGTAGCCCTCTGGAATTCTTGGAAGTGTGTTTGGGCAGTTGAGGCGTATCCACATTATCTGCCATTAGTGGAATTCAAACACAAGGAAAGAACCTTTGATGAAAGCTTGTTTGCAACTCAATTTTATGAAGTTAAGGGAAAATTGAAAGCAGTGGTAATAGAATTTTCATTTGGAATCATACTACATAAGATAGGATGCCCTTGATTATGAAGGTGATATGAAATTGCTGTTAATAACAGAAACATAGAGACCATTCACTTTTATGTAATAAAATGACGGGCATGTCCAAATTTGAGTATCCACTCTTCTCCTGTTTAAGCTGTTTTCATTTCTTCACATGTACCTTGAAAGCATTTAAATCACAGACTTTACCTTGCCCTTGATTATGAAGGTGATGTTGAATCGCTGCCTCTGTTAATCCTTGGAATGTTTAAATGAATGTTCTGTAGTTGATGGATCAACGTGTCCATGACCCATAGCCCTGTACTTTCCCTTTGCTGCCAGTTCTCAGGCTAAGTAAGAAGACGTCATTCAGAATTTTCCTGAGAGTATAAATAGCTCTATTGTGTAACCCCTGTTATAGCACATGTGCAAATTAGTGAAGCAAAAAAAGGTGCTGTGACAGGTTTTGTTGAAAGATTGCACTGGGCTCTGACCTCCTTCTTGGTGCATGTTTATAAGCATTTGATAAAATGATTAAACCTAAGGTGTAATGTTACTACTTTTTGCTGTGGTACAATTTGTGTGGTAATGGATATTAGTGTTCTTTTAATGTTGATGTTTTAAAAAGATGATTTTTTTTTTTTTAATTTAAAGATGGTTTGAGGTATATTTAAACAGACCTCCAGTCTTTGTTAGTGAATTCTCTTTTTAGGGGCAGCAGGGAAAGACCTTCTGAGAATGGACCACAGATCTCACTCTTAAAGGTTGACATGCTATCTTATTTAGATATAAAATTGGATATGGACTTGATTTTTTTTTAAGATATTTATTTATTTATTTATTTATTTATTTATTTATTTATTTGAGAGAGAGAGAAACAGCATGAGAGGGGAGAGGGTCTGAGGGAGAAGCAGGCTCCCCGCTGAGCTGGGAGCCCGATGTGGGACTCGATCCCAGGACTCCGGGATCATGACCTGAGCCGAAGGCAGTCGCTTAACCAACTGAGCCACCCAGGCGCCCCTGGACTTGATTTTAAAAGGTGCTCTACATACATAATTTTTAAGTTATATGTTTATCTTTCTCCCTAATGATAAAGTAACATTCGTTAACTTTTTTGTCTTTGTACCATGAGAATTTTTGACTAGGTACCCTGGGTATTTCTTCATGGTAAGAGGACAGTTATTCAAATAACTAAATTTTAAGGTAAATCAAAGGAGGTCAGTTCTGACTAGAATGATCTGTGAAGTTCTCCTAAAGAAGATACTAATTTAGTTGCGGCTAGGAGAGGAGTACTGAGTAGATGGAAAGGAAAAGTATTCAGAAGGAAAATCATGCTCTCTAGTTGGTGGGTGAGAAATTAGTTCAGATCAGTGGTTTGACTCAGAGGGATTCTAGTGCAAGACAAAGTTGGAAAGGTCAGTAGGGGTCATCGTTAACTATTGGGCTAAAAAGTTGGTCTTCATTTAGCAAGAAGTTTTTGGAAGGTCTTTGACCAGGTAAATGCCCTGATTTCTGTGCTGCTTGAGTAATAGTAGTCTCTAACAGTGGATGTGAGGCATTTGATTTGGAGGCATGAGGAACAGTTAGCCTGTAAGCGACAGAGAAAAGAAAGAGATGGGTGCAAACAAGTCATTGGAAGATTAGGTAGGAATTAGCGAATGACTGGTGTGTTCGTTGGCTAGGGCTGCCTAACAAAGTCCTGCAGACCGAGTGGTCTAACAGAGATTGATTTTCTCGCAGTTCTGGAGGCTGGCCGTCTGCGATCAGGGCACCAGCAGGGTTGGCTTCCCCTGAGGCCACTCTGCTTGGCTTGCAGGAGGCCGTCTTCTCCCTGTGTCTTCACAATGTCTGCCTCTCTGCATCTGCGTCTTAATCTCCTTTTCTTAGGAATCCCATTGGATTAGGGCTCACCCTGATGACTTCATTTTAATTTAATTATCTCTTTGAGAGCCCTTTGTCCAAATACACTTTCTGATACCAGTCATTAGGTCTTCAACATATGAATTTGGGAGAGGGGGAGCCCAATTCAGCCCATAACACCTGGATAGAAGGGCCGGGGAGAAACAGAAATAGAGGGTTAGCAGATTGGAAAATTGGTGGAAGCTGGATTTTTACAGTTAAATCTGGTTTGAGATGAAAAGAATCACTCTTCTGAAAGCCCGTGCACCTGCCATGTCATTCAACCTGGGCTAGCCTGCTGGCAAATGAGAGGGTACATGGAACTCAAAACTAAAGGTCCTGCTGACTTACTTTCTCCAAGACAACATGGCTCTGTAGGTTAGACTTCGTTTTAATCAGAGCCTCAGCAGCTTCATTCTCTCTTACCTTTAGAAGATATTATTCTTTAATTCTGCTCTCACCTGGTGTAGTAGAGAATTTGGCCTTTCCCAAAGAGAGGTCTAGTCTTTATACTCATCTTCTGGGAGAGGTAACCTCTCACCCCTTGGAATTTCCTGAGTGATGAAAGTGTCTCATTAGTCATGATGGGCCCTTTGGGCCATGTGGTGTCAGCCCAGCCTCCAGGGAAGTGGTACTGGAGACTGAATTCAGCCACATGGGCAGCTTGTCAAACAAACCCATATACCAGTGAAACCCTGGACACTGGAATTTGGGTAGGCTTCCTCAGTTGATAATACTCTGTGCATATTATCACAGGTTGCTGCCAGGAGAGTAGAACATCTTGAGGACAGTGGAAACTTTGCATCTGGAACTCTCCCATACTCAGTCCTATATATCTCTTCATTTGTCTGGTTCTCCGTATCATTTCCCATAATAAGCCATAACTGTGAGTTTAATGGCTTTCTGTGAGTTCTGTGAGTCCTTTTGGTGAATTATTAAAGGTTAGAGTGGTTTTGGGAACCCTTTAACCTGGCAGATGATGTCAGGGTGAGGACAGTCTTGGGGACTCTGCCCTCAGAATTTGCAGTTTGACTAAGTGTAGTACAAACAAAACTCCAGGTTTTTACATACTATGAGGGAGTTTTAAGAGCTAGCTTTTCAAGAGAGTGGCTTTCATTATATTATTATTTTTTTCAGTACTATCTGCTAGACTGAGCTTCCTAGAATATTGTATTTTTGATTTGTAGTGAGGTTCTTAGCTTCACACCTAGGGAGTAATAGTGCCTTGGCTCTAAGAGATACTTACCATCTTTGAAGGCCGTGAAATTACTCAGTGGAACTTTGTTTCTCCTTACAGATTTGGCCATCCCAGGTAATCATGGCAGCTTTAATCTTTTGCAAGGCAGTATACTATATCCTTTTCCTTTCATGACAGAGCTGATCTCAGCAGTCCCCCTTAGACAACAGGCTCAGAAGGACTTTGAGGAGGATTTAATTAATTTTATCTGATGGGAGATTTCATTTGGATGCATCTTGGTTACAGGAGATGGAAGCTTTTTATTTTTTTATTTTTTTTTTAAGATTTTATTTATTTATTTGACAGAGAGCACGAGAGAGCACAAGCAGGGAGAACAGTAGAGGGAGAGGAAGAAGCAGGCTTCCCGCCGAGCAGGGAGCCCGACGTGGGGCTCGATCCTAGGACCCTGAGATCATGACCTGAGCCGAAGGCAGACGCCCGAAGATGGAAGCTTTTTAAATTGCAGTTTCAAGGGCGGTATTATACACCTGATGGGGGTCACACAGAATGACTGTAAAGAGAAGGAAAGCTGAGAGCACTTGAAGCCAGACATGATAAACACCAGTCACATCGATGCGTCTTGCCAGGATAGCTAATGGAATTATTTTAGGGATGCTTAAACATTAACTCATACTTTAGTCCTTCAGTTTATAGTTTTGGCAGGAAACCATTAAAACATTTTAGATTTAATGGCATTTTCCCCCCTATTTAATCAGCACCTCATTCATTCAGAGGGCTCCTCCGTGACATGCCCTCTGAGTTGTGAATATACAGCTATGAGGAAACAGGTAGGATCTTACCAGTATGGAACTCGGGAGTCGATCAGAGCGCAGGAGGAAGACAGAATTTTAAAATAAAGAGCTTTTGAGGGGCGCCTGGGTGGGCTCAGTTGGTTAAGCGACTGCCTTCGGCTCAGGTCATGATCCTGGAGTCCCGGGATCGAGTCCTGCATCGGGCTCCCTGCTCGGCAGGGAGTCTGCTTCTCCCTCTGACCCTATCCCCTCTCATGCTCTTTCTCTCTTTCTCTCTCTCAAATAAATAAATAAAATCTTTAAAAAAAAAAAAAATAAAGAGCTTTTGAAAAATCCCAAGGTAGTTCTATTATCATGGGATAATTGTGTCCCTAATAAGTTATTAAAAATATTATTTACGTTTTTTTTCAGTAGGAATTAAACAGTTTGGAAATTAAGAATGTATGCTGCTTATTTTCCTGCAAGAACTTTTACCCCACAATAGCTTTAACGTTTTAGCTGTAAAACCCAAATCCCTTAGCAGATCCAGCAATTTTTTACATCTAGCTTTTATTCAAAAGATAACCTTAACTTTTCCCAGTCCAACTAGAAACAATCACTGTTAGCAGTTCCAATTGCTTTCATCACTCTGGTGTTATCTGTTAAATAGAGCAATTTATGGTGCTGGTTCTTAGTTTCAAGATGCTGGTACCATGTCATGTAGAGAAGTATTCCCTGTGTTAACCCTTATTCTTCACCTGATAGGTAATTAATTAAACAAAATACTATATTAAATGTTGCATTGATGGTACTTAGCACAGGTCTAGCACAAGATAAATGCTCTGAATATTTGATTTTATTGTTATATATATTGTGATGATATTATTTTATTATGATGTCCAACTCAAGGTATATGACTGTGCACCATAGGAGAAATTTCTGTATTTGTTTCCAGACAAAATCTACCTGATGTTAAACCCCTCTCTGAAAACAAACAAAAAAACAATAGAAAGAGTTCTTATCCTCTGGGAGCTCTCAGCCCAACCAAAGACAAGGGATGAAGCTGTGGGTACGGGGAGGGTGCGGTGAGGGATGTGGCAGAGAACAGGGAGAGAGCTGCAGGGGCTCTATCTCTTGATCACTGTCAGAATCAGACCTCCTTGGGTGGATTAGATCCTGTGTACCACATCTGCAAAAAGGAAGCATTATTACCAGTGTATTTTGTACATATGAGGTTTTTTTAAATAAAAAAACAAATGTTAAGCACATATCAAAGAAATATAGAATATTCTGAAGGCAATGGAAACCTTGTGAAGACAATACAATATCAAATAAATGAAAAGCATTTTAAAGACAATTGATATTTCTTTCCCATGCTGTCGTAGATAACAAAGTGGACCGTTTCCACCTTCCCTAAAGGAGAAAGTATGAATGTGGGAAGTGACATAGGTCTGTTGAAAATGTTTTTGGACTCCTTTCGTTAAAGGTGTAACATTTCAGCTTGGCTTCAGTTTTGTTGGAAGATGAAGCACTTGTAAAGGAGTATGATTCTGTGAGATTGTACATGAATACTAGTAATACTCCTTTGTGTGCTCTACTTTAGAAGGGTTTTCACTTTTATCCTTGAACGAAGTTGTTGAAACCTGACTTACAAATTTAGGCTCATGGAAGAAGCCTGGGTTATCCTTACAAGGTATTAAAAGATTAGTTACCCTGTGGAAGAAGTTTAGGTGATTTTAGAGTATCTGAGGAATGCTATGCAAAACTCTTAGAGATAAAATGGGTTTTGTAAGTATTACCTTATATTCAAAGTTTTCTTCAATGTAAAATGCTTTAACTTTAAAATGTTTTTGGTTTTATTAGGTTTTTCACTTTGATGTAGGGGTGGAAAAGTTTTCCCTTCATCTAGGATCTTTGGCTGGTCAAATAATTAAATTGATTTAAAACCAATTAACAGGAGAAAACAACTCCAAGTGTAGTAATGTGTATACATGAGAGAGACCTGGAGTAAGTGAGTAACTCTCCAAAATGGCCAGAACCATCACCTTAAATAGCACCTTCAGCAAAAGACAAAAGATTTCGGAGATACAGAATCAGTTATGGGAGCACAGTAAACAAGGGTAAGGTTGTTATGCAGACCTAAGTCATCCTCTTCTCCACTGGTGAGAGTTTCTAGAGGTTGAGTCATCCTCTCTTCCTGATACCGCAAGAGAGACGCCCCTGCAAATGGAGGATTTCTTTAGACATGTCAGTATCTCCTGCAAAAGGGTCACTTCTCTTTGGTTTGCAGAGCTTCTCACGTGTTGGCAGTTTCTTAAAAATCATCAACCAAAAATAATCCTTATGCCAGAGAGACATGTCTTGGGGTGGCAAATTCTGCTCCTCTGCACCAGCAGTCCTGTTTTGTTTCTTTTGGGTGGATGATTTTAATAGCTATACTGGAAATGAATTAGTGAAGCTGAGGATTACATGCCGGTGGTATCAGCAGGTGTTTCTCATGTTCTCTGTAATTACACATGGGATCATGGACAGTTTTAAGCAACAGTGTTTAAAGATCCTGCTTAATTGGCTGTAAAATAATTAAATAAGGTTTTGACTGGCAAATTTATAATTCTGTTAGATGAGTAAGCCAGTGTGCCTGAATGTCAGTGTGACTTCAATTTGGAAATATTAGATTAATAGAACTAATTGTACTGCAGGTACAAAGTTTACCCTGATTAATAGTCTTAAAACTTTTCTAGAAGTGTAGCCAAGTAAATTTATGTTACTTACCTCTTACTTTTAATTAAAACTTATTTCAAAAGTTTGAGCTGTTCAGTTTTGCTGTGCTTCTCTTTCTCTTTGGTTTCTCCAAAGTGGAGTTCCAGCAATTTTTCGGTGACTCCAGCTGCCTTATTGAATAGCTGGCCTTATCAAAAGGCTTAAAATTATATACTGTTGTACATGTATTTGTATCTGCAGCTGACAGGTACCCTGCACATCGTCTCTAACACTTATTGATGTCTGTTTATAACCTACTTTAGTGCTGCGTGAATGGCTCTGATAGACCAAATGTACATGATAAATGTTCTATCTCTGATTCTCATGGATCAATTTCTAAATGATCAAATGGTTTATCTCAGTAAGACACTAATTCACATTGATCAAATTCTAAATGACCAAGTTGACTTGGCTTCTGCTGAACACAAATTGTATTAAAACAACATTACTTGAACATGCTGTCTTTTCTAATGCAGGAGTTATGTTACCAGCAGTTACATTATAACTAGAGTTATTGTATTATAAAGATGTCTCCTTCATAATGAAAAGTTTACACAAGAAGAAAAGAATGTGATATTGCAGGAAGAACAGGGCTTTGAGCAAGGATTTGGGCTTTTACTAACTAATTAAATTCTGCATTTGTATTGGGTCCTCCTTCCCCTTTTTTTAATTTGAAAGGCTGTGAGCAGGGAGCATGGCAGCTGCACTGGTGACATTTTATTCCCTAGGGTCCTCAGAGCCAAGTAACATCTTGATTATTCAGTAAGAGATTTAGTAACTGAAGAGGCAAAATTCTAGATAAAGTCAATATACCTGTACCCTTTGTGTATAAACTCGGTTTCAATAGGTTTTAAGGTTATTTATTGTTTTTTAAAAAACATCAGCTCCCCTGTGTCAACTGGCAGGGTGTCTCAAACCCTCTGGAGTTTGTCAGTGTTGCTGGCAGAGGATTTCCATTCTGAAATTGAGAAACAATGTTTATGAGCTGAAGAATATACTTTGTATATGAAGCTAATGGCAAATACACATTTGGCTGAAACATAGTCTTGGTTGTTTAGAACAACTAATTCCTCAGGCAGGTTATTTATTACATCTTTGGCTTGTCTCTTCCATCTGTAAAATGTAAATTATAACCGCCACTCTCTTTAGGGCATCCAAGCTGAGAAGGTTTAAAAGTTAAAAAAGAAGGAAAAAAAGAAAGTTGTCATTGAGCCTCATCTAAAAATGGTTGTAAACGGTGGTTTTACTCAGTTCTAAAGGTGCTGGCTGCCATTTTAAGTATGTTCTGGATGGTGTGGCAGCCCTTCGGTACTTCCTCAGGGGATATGTACAGGACAGTCTGCCACCTGTCAAGTTATGAGTCTGTCTCCCTTTTCATCCCCCACATCCCACCCACCTCCAACCACAAATTAGTTCCAAGTAAAGTGAGATCTGTTTTGGAATACACCAGTATTTGACAACATTTCATATGATAGGCATTTAAAATTGGTTAGATTCGTAAAGAAACCTTAGGTGATTAAAGTTTTTTTAAATTCCTTTAAGATTTGAGCCCTTCCAATCAGATCTAAGTTACTTAGTTTCTTTTTGTTCCTTGGTTTGGATCTCTATATTGAATCTATACGCTATCTTCTGAGGGAACAGAAGTAAATGGCAAGAAACATTAACACCACATGGGAGTAAGCTTTTTGTCTGCACCTTTTCTCTGCTTCCTAAACTGTCCCTCACAGTGTTCCACTCAATCCAGAAGTGTCTGCAGAAAGGGGCGGGGCAGGGTGGCAAAGTTGATTGGAATACAGGGCAGGTGCGCGAGTGTAAACCACAGATAGTATGGTCTGTTTCACAAAAAGGACACAAACTGCAGCCATCACATGAACATCTGCACTTGTTCACAAGGTCAAGAGACGGTTGCTGCAGCCACTTCCTCCTCACGTCAATGTCAACATAAGTATGTAAAGGAACTGCGAGTGGTGACAGAAGCTGCCAAAGGTCCAGTCCAATTAGCTCCATCCTATCCGGGACCCAGAACTCTTGTCTCTGTCCAAGCTGTGGCAGTCAGGATTGGTTTGCTTTGCTCTGGGCATCTTCTTTACTTTAACCTATTTATGTGTTACATGTAAATGATCCTAACCAGTCTTGTAGCCCTTAGGTTTGTGGCCATAAGATCCTGAATTCATGATTTGTTCCACGTGAGATAACAAATTGTTCTGTTTTCCCCTACAAGAACATTAGCATTGAACTTTCTTTCTTAATCAATACAATCCATTAAGAATCTAGCATACCCTACATGGTTATATGAAACATTAATTACACACTGTTAGATAAATGGAGGTTCTGCCAGAATGATAGCTTGTTTCTTTCCTTGTATCGTAGTATTTAAAATGAGAACATTTGGACTTCTAGAGTACATGGTATTTTGGAATTTGTCTACTGATCCTTGCTTATTTGAGTCATTAACTAACGGTATAGCTCATAGTTCCCAAAAGCTATTTCTAACTGGAAGTAGGAAATCTTTTCCTCTTGCTCATTCTGACTCGAGTTCCTTTACATTTTAAAGATCCAGTAGAAAATAATTTTTGATTTTCCTTTGATGTTTTCAGAGATAAGAAAAAGTTATTTTGCTTTTTGAGTGCCACTCAGCTGCAGGTAGAGAGAAGCTTGTAAGGAGGGTCAATTAGAGTTAATTATTGTCTGACAAACCTACCATATTTTAAAATGTCCAGGAAGAGTTCTAGGTTGTAGATTTTTAATTCTTAAAGTCTTGAGCATGGTTAAAAATTGCATCGTAGTCATTATCTGCACATAAAAATGATAGCTGTCAGGATGGTCTGTGGAAGTTGTATAGGCTTGGCCATATTGTAAGATCCAATTATGTTTTATCGCTCTACAGTTTGGTAAGCCTATTCCAAATACTATCAGGCCTTCCTGCCTCCAACCAGATAATTATAGATGTCTGTGGTTGCCCTTTCACCATGCATGGGATAAAACCATGGTAGTAAGATTGAAAGCAGAACTTCTAGGATAATTGCACTTAAACATACATTTCCATAGCACATTTGAAATTATAATTTATCATGAGATGTCTCATGGTTTCAGTCTATTAAGGATTCCCATTGCTGGCTCTTTTGAATTTTCTTAAGACATAAGCAAACAAAATACGGAAGTTGGTAACTTGGTCCTTACTATAATTTAAAACTTCTGTTCATCTAAAGACACCATTAAGAAAATTTATAAAATGGGTGAAAGATTTGAAGAGACACTTCGAAGGAAGATATAAGGATGGCCATTAGCACACGAAAAGTGCTAATAACATCATTAGTTATTAGGAAAATGTGAATTTAAAATGTTGGAATGCTGAAAACCGGAAGGACTGACAGTCCTAATTGTTTGACAGGATGTGGAGAAGCCAGAATTTTCATCCTTTGCTGGTGGAGTTCTAAAATGGCAGCCACTTTGGAAAAAGTTTGGCAGTTTCTTATAAATTTAAACATACATTTGCTCTATGACTCAGCAATTCTAGTCCTAGGTATTTATCCCAAAGGAAATAAAATATACATTCACAAAAAGATTTGTACACATATGTTCACATCAGCTTTATTCATAGTAGTCAAAACTAGAAACAACCCAAATGGTCCAGAGAATGGATAAACCAATTGTGGTATATTCATACAGTGGAATAGAATACTCTTCAGGAGTTTAAAAAAAAAAAGAAAAAGAAAAAAAACAAACTATTGATACATGTAATAACATGGATGAATCTGAGAAACATGTTAAGCAAAAAGAAGCCAAACACAAAACAATACTGTGTGCTTCCATTTGTTTGATTCTATATATGAAGTGCAAAAATAGGAAAAATTCATCTGTACTGACAGAAATCAGAACAGTTGATGGGGAGGGAAGGCAATTTGATTGGAAAGGGACACAGACTTTCTGAGGCACTGGGAGTATTTGTTTTCTAGATCATAGTTATACAGACATAAACAATTTTTACAATATGAACAATTAAGATAGGTGCTTTTTAAAAAAATGCTAATTATACTTTAAGCACCCTAAATTCATTGTTAATTAATTTTACCTAGGGAAAAAAAAATGCCCAAAATATTAGGAGTGCCCAACTTCTAACTATAATTTGTCGGAGGTAAAATAAGTTTCTTCAATTTAATCAGTCTTAAGAAACTTGCAATTATTAATTTTATCCATAATTGTATTTTTTCATCATTCAATATATTTCAATGCTATAGAAATATAGAAGTAAACCTTGCTATATTTTATTTATTTATTTTCTTAAGAATCAGTCTGTTTTCCTTCTTACTAAGTTACATTTGCCTCTCATATACTCTCTTCCTCATTAGCCGAGAGTCTTGCAGATGGACCTGGTTACGTTTTGAAAGTTATTTTTGATAAAGGGGTTTTGAAGGCAGTATTTATAAATGAAACATTTATACAGTAACACTGGTACTTTTTAATATAATAATCCTAGGCAGCAGTTTGTTCCTACTATGTATTACATCCTGGCAAAATGCTTCAGAACTTGTAAAAGCTTGCATCTTGGCCCTTCCCTACATGTTGAAACGAAAGCACACATGTTCCCATGTTCAAGTGTCGCCAAGCATCCCCAGCTTGCTCACATGGCTGCCTTAAGCTGTTTTATGTGCTTTCTCATTCAGTGGCCAACAGTTAAATTGCCGTGTTCCTTTTGTGAGTGTGTACGTCTAAATGCTGGTAATCAGCTGCGTCCCTTGCAAATTGATAGATGCGCTCATTAAGGGGAGCTCTTGCTCTTGGCGCCACTCAAAAGTCACCTCAGCTACTGTTTCTGGATGAAGCTGGCAAGAAATACTGTGCAGTGATACATCTGGCTTTGTACTCCTTTGCAAGGACTCACACCTCCTTTTTCAGTAGGTTAAACATGCTTCTTTGTAGGGATCTTAAGTACAAAGCAGTCAGCTATTTGCCAATTACAGTATTAACACAAGAAAGACTAAGGGCTGCTGTTGTGTGGTGGGATTTTTTTTTTTTTTTTTTTTTTTAATGTGCTGCCATTTGTTCTTCGTCTTGTTCTCCTGTGCTGCTGAGATTACACACATGCCTATTTGTGAGCCACACCCACCTATTGGAGACTCTGAAGTCCACCAGCCTGCCGCTGGTAGAGATCTCAACAAAGCTGCCGTCTGAGAGGCACATTCTGCATGGTTTATGATTGGGATTTTGAAGGTAGCATACACCTGTTTCTGTTTTCAGGATGGAAAATGAATTGCCAATTACTGTAGACATGTTCAGACATGACACTTCATATGGCAGAAGCTTGCTCAGCCTGCTTTATGCTGGGCCCCCAACTATGAACCATCAGTTCTGAAAAAGGGGTGTGTTGGTGAGCAGCAGAAGAGAGAAGGGCCTCCATCCTTGATCCATTAACTATTTTTTGTGCTTGTGCAGCTGTGGGAAGGAGGTCAGTGCCTCTCACCTTTGTTTCCCCAGCAGAGCTCTTGAACAAGATGAAGCGATCAAAGTCCAGTGCCAGCACATCCTCAGTCTCATTACTTTGCAAGCTGCACGCCCAGATGCTTCTGTTTTCCGCATCAGGCTTCACTGATACACATTCATAACACCTCCATCACAGCTCATTGGGCACTGCTCGTAATTAACCGGTTCTTTTCTTTTCATGATCGTGTTTTCTCTAATACAAAAGACGCTACTACAAAGAAGAAAATAACATTGCTGGATGTTCACTGCTTCTTTCAGATATCCTGGGTAGTTGACCGGCAGCAAGAATCAAATATGTTATCACTCCATAAATAATGTGTGGTTTTGGTTTGGTTAGGTGAGCGTTGGTTTGGGCGTATTTTTGAAGTCTTTGAGTTTGAGATACTGGATTTTGCCAGCAGAAATTTCACTGATGCCCCTGTCCTGGAGTTCCTTTCAGTGCGGGGATTCGGACACACTGTCCTCATTTGTTTGGATTCTCCCCCCAGCTCAGAACGCAGTGACATCTATTTATTTTGAAAGATTATTAGTAAGATAATTTTTGCTTTAGGGAATTTAAGTCATCATTAAAATCAACAAAACTACCCATTGAGGTCTTTGATGCTCCATGCTCTGTGGGCACTGGAAATACAGAAATAGAAGTTTGAGTTCCTGCCCTCAGAGGTCTTATGCTTGTTGAGATCATTAGCTCTGCTATCGAGGTGCCAAAACCTCATACAGAAACTATAACTGCAACATTTGTTCAAAAAAAATTGTTGAGTATCTCCTATCGCATACATTCCAGGTGGTTTTTATAAATGGGAAATAGATGAAATGGGCATGATCCCTGACTTCAGAACACTTGGGGGAGACAGATTAATACAAAAGTGACTAAAGTGTGGTAAATGCTAATATAATGGTATAAACAAAATGCTGTAAGAATAAGGGAAGCTGGATTACAGGCAGAGGTGACTGGCGTAGGCTGGGTCTTTTCACTTTGAGATTTTCATAAGGTAAGAAGAGGGAAAGTAGCTTTCCATCAAGAGGGAATCTGATGCTGGAAGTGGTTGGGATGAATGTGGAGGGAGATGGAATAGGAGGCCATAAAAGAAGATTAGAGTCAGACTTTACATGCCATGTAGTGAAAGGAAGAGTTATTAACTCTGGGGGGTGAAGGTGTGAGGAGTCAGCAAAAAAGTTCTACCTACTTGAAAATATTTTTCTGCCCCCCATCTCTGGTGTCCATGATTCTCACCATGGAATTATGCCTTTTGAGTTGGTCGTTGTTTTTAAACATTTTCTATCAAATATACAAGTGTAATGTTCGGTGCATATGTATGTGTTTATTATAATCACAGCTTATTATACCCTTCTAGTTACTATTATTTTAACATTATTAATATCTATTCAAAAATAAGCATATGTTAACTCATATTAATTATCTCTTAGCAAAGTTCATGGCTTTGAGAGATTGGGATATAGGAAAGAGCAGTTGTGATTGAAAAGATAGGGAAGAGAGAATTCAAGAAAGGTTTGGTTCATGGGATGCTGTTTGGGGAAATGCTAGAGCATTTTAGCAGAGAAAGAACATTTCAGATAAAGGAACACCAAAAGCCAGTAGGCTGGTTCCTCATTTTATCACTGTCCCTGCAGACCATGTTGTGGGATCATCTTTTAACTGAAACGGTATAATGGTGAACTTATAAAAGTATTCCGAGCCATGATCTCTTTCAATAGCATCCTAACAATTCATATGATACCAAATTCTGCATGTTGTTACAAAGAATGTGTTAAAAACAAATTTTATATGGTTTATTCAGATACGGTCTGTCTGGGTGTATGACTTTTGGTTTATGTCTGTGATTGCATGTACCCAAGATATATAAAATTAGCTCCTATATTGCTAGTCCACCTAATAAGATCCTAGTATTATCATTAAATGAATATTTTAAGAATTTCCTTCCCATTGTATTTTGTGATCAACCTTTGCCTTTTGATATCCTTCCTAGAGACTTCGTGTGGTGAAAAGAATATGAAATTAATAAATGCTATTGGATTTTTAAAAATTATCAAGGTAATACTTTTTTTTTTTTTTTTTGTAGCAAGGCAAATGCAATTTTTCCCTCTCTTTTCTTCCAGGTTAACCCTTAAAAGCAAATCATGTGAAATTGCAGTTTGATAGTCATCCTTCCACATTTATCTCTATCCATAGAAACGTTAATAAAAAATAGATTTTGTTTTAGTTGAAAAAAACATATTGTGCCATATATATTTTCCTTAACTTCCATTTATGATGGATATATCCTCCTTAATCAACACCTGTAATTCCAACTCATTCTTTTAAAGCTGCATATTATTCCATGGCATTGATCCATCAGAATTCATGGAGCCCATCCCCTGTTGACAGGCAGTCAGGCTGTGTTCCAAATTATTTGGGTTTTTTGACAAGTAAAAACAAAAAACAACTGTTTGCTGCAGTGAAACAAACTTGTACATAAATCTTTAGGAAGTGGTACTTTTGTTCCCATAACATGGGTGGAGTTAGAATCATGACCAGTCCTTCTAACTAATTTGCATTGTGCTGTTCTTTGCTGATGTACAAAATGTATATGCTATAATAACTCATTGAGTTGTTTAAGAGGTGATGAACAATATAGGTAAAATTCTGGGCATATAGTAGGCACTCAGCGCTATACAGGATCAATTTCTGTATGGATCTAGTGGAATTAGAATTGGCAGAGCTTGGTTACTTAACTTTAGGTGTTTTATTACAGTGTGAATCTAAATCTGACCTCCCAAGTGTCCCTCTCTCTTCTTTAAGAAAAGGAAAACCCATTTTGTGAAAATTTTCAGCTTTTTTGACTTGTGTAATTTAAATTTTGGCACAACCTTTAGAGTTTTTGCTGCTGGTTTGTAATTCCCTAGAGGTGAATTGAAAAGATTAGTGGTAAACTTTTTCCATTAACTCTGGGAAAAACTACAGAGCAAAAAAATTGTCCTTTGGCAGAAATGTCAATCCATACCTCTTCTGGAGCATTTGGAAACTGAAGCACTGAGAAGCTGATTTAATGGGAGAATTGAAAACCAAAATGTATACACATCTTCACCTTTCCTAACTGACGACAAGACAAATGAAAAATATACTTTCAGAACTTGATGATGGAAAGAAAATAGGATCATTGCTCCAGAGAGTGCATTAAGGCTAGATCTGTAAAAGATCTAAGTGCTAGGCTTTTGGCCACGTTCTTCAGAAAGCTGATCTGTTCTTATTAATATTTGTACCTTGCACCATAAAATTCCCCTTTTGTATGATATAGTCTCTAGGAAGTAGTTTTAAGAAAAAGAGAATGTTTAATAATGCTACAGATTTTGTTATAGCAACTACCAAGAACATATGCTCATTTTCTCTTGTTTGTGGTTCTTGGTCTCCCTGGGTGTCTCTCCCCCCCCCATCCCTCCGCTAGGTCTTCTCTTAATTGTTCCTTCCATTCCATAATGTCAGTATAGCTGTGATGAAATAGTAAATTTCCTTGTAAGCAGAAATTTTACTGGGTATAATCTTTATAAATATCCTTCACATAATGCAGTAGAGTTTTTCTGTCAAGTTCTCTCTTCCTTCCCCACCTCCATTATATTTCTACATCTGTGAAAGATGATAATCACAGAGATGCTGTATAGGAATTAAATGAAGACCATTCTTGTTTTTGGCACACCCAAGCTGTTAGTATTTAGCTAATTAGTATAGTCATCAATAGTTCAAGTTTCTGTTGAGTGAATTTTATGTGTTTTTAAATTGATATCCATCATATAATTCAATATATGTTTCCCTTGGTGATAATCCCTGGACATATAAATTTGCAATTGAGAATATACCATGCCTCTAAAAACATGTGTTTAAGGACATATGTTTTGTGTCAGATCATTAACCAGCAGTTAACAACACTACCCAAAATAATAATTATATTTTAACATGCCAGGATGTACATAATTTAGTTAGAAATGCCTATGGGAGGCTGTGCTTGGATAAATGTTGCTATTGCTTATAGTATAGTTTTCATCTAATAACTTGTCTTTCCTTTAGGATATTTATATTAATTTGAGATTGCGGGCAATTACAGGGTGGTAGTCTATAATGAATGAACAGAATTCTCCCTAAAGTTTCTTCTGAAGTCACTTGCTTGGCATTTGGACCATAATTTTTCCTAGAAATGAGAAGGACTTAATTTGTGGTTAAGTGTCTAGGTTAGTCCTCAAAAGCCTATTTAATCCCTGTATATTTGCAGTTAAGAATGAAAAGACTGGAGGTTGGGGGATGTGGGAAAAGAAAGAAGCAAAAAGGAAAAAAGGAAATAATGCATTTGCTCATGCTCATGTGTTTAAACTACATTCTGGATTTTATTTATTTATTTTTAAAGATTTTATTTATTTATCTGAGAGAGAGAATGGGAGACAGAGCATGAGAGGGGGAGGATCAGAAGGAGAAGCAGACTCCCTGCTGAGCAGGGAGTCCGATGCGGGACTCGATCCCGGGACTCCAGGATCATGACCTGAGCCGAAGGCAGTTGCTTAACCAACTGAACCACCCAGGCACCCTACGTTCTGGATTTTAAAAGCTAATCTAATCATGGGTATAATTTTGTTTCTGTGAAAAAAATGTAGATCCGTGTAGAGAGTGAACTGGGAATACAGAAACCTTGGAAAGAATTGCTCTCTCTCCCCCTTGTCCCTTGGTAGCATTCAAACTTTTTTCCAGGGTTGGGGGATGTTGAGCAGTGAGTGGGATTCAATTTTAAAATGAAATCTCGGGTGCAGTCATAACACTTACAAATGATAATACTATTTTTAAAAATGTAGTTTTAAGCTTATTTACAATCTTTTCTAATTATCGAGAAAACAAAGACACTTATTTTCATGAACACAACATTTGAAAGTAATTGCTAAGGGTGGTGGCTGCAGGCTTATATCGGCCTCAGCACCCAAATTTTTATTAGGTTGCATAGCATTGAAATAATCCTGATTTGCAGTAATAAGTAGTGGCAACTGATAACAGGTTTTTTTTTTTTTTAGCAGCTTGCCTTGCAATCTCAACATAGTCATTCATTAGTCTGATCCTTATGATCAAAGGTGAGATAAGTTTGTGCTTTAAAGCTGAATAATTGACCGTATCTAATAAACCATTATATAGAAGTTGGGACAAACACCCAAAACTTACAACATTAAAGCACAATATAAACATAACCTTTGACATGACCTCAACCTCATCTTTTCATCTTCCATGGACCTTGGAGTTCCTCATTAAAGAGAGAACGTGCCTTTGTGCTCCTGCAGGTTTGTTCACACCTGCCCCTAACACAGCACACCTTCACCGTCTCCTGCTGGTAAACTCCACTGTCAAGACCTGTCTTACAGGTTAGTGTCTCTGAAGTCTTCCTTGACACTGCCTTTCCCCCTCCACCTCCCAGAAAAGAGCACAATTAATTGCTCCTCCTGTGTTTGGGTAACTCAACCCCTTGTTACAGTCCAGTTTGCATCGTAGTTGCCTGGGCCCCTGTCTCCCTTCTAAAACAGGAACCCCTTAGCGCATGAGCTGTGTGTCTTAGCCACCTTTATAGCAGTGGTGCTCTTGACAGGTGTTCAGTTAATGTCAACGTTGTTATTTACTAAATTGATTTAAGCGCTTACAAAACTTCCTGCTTTTCAGCTTCTACCCTTCTACTCGAGAAGGGACCTTGAATTTACATTAAAGGAAGCCCTTGTGTAAAAAGCTGAGTAAGAATTACAGACTCTTGGGAGTTTAGAGGGTCCATTATCAAGGTTGTACTGTCGAGTAACAGTGTGCGAATCTCATTCCCAGTTGAAATGAAACCTTCTTGAGGGCAGGAATCGTGTTTTATTCCACTTATAGATCTCCCCCAGCACCTAGCACAGGTACTGCACTTAGTAAATACATGCTGAAATAAGTTCCTTCAGTAAATTAGGGGACTGTGGCTATGTGACATCTCTCTGTCTAGCTTAATGGTTTGCTTCCTCTAGTTGTTGGTGTTCTTTAGTACAGGCTGTTAATTCAGGGCTGATTTTTGTTGGACACTAGCTAATTGCCAGAGTACATCTCCAATACGTGCCGGAGAGAAGGCAAGCATTCCTCTTGACAGTATCAATAGGGTAGTTAAGATTATAGCAAGATTCAACATACAGTGGAGTATTATTTATTAGTTTAAAGTTTGTCGTTAATTGGAAATTCCTTCCGTTCAGATTTCTGTACAGTGTGAATTTTTGTTAAAGAAGATATTCGAAAAACTTCCTGACATTTGCTTTTTTTTTTTTTTTTTTTTTTTGACAGATAGAGACACAGCGAGAGAGGGAACACAAGCAGGGGGAGTGGGAGAGGGAGAAGCAGGCTCCCCGCAGAGCAGGGAGCCCGATGCGGGACTTGATCCCAGGACCGTGGGATTATGACCTGAGCCGAAGGCAGTCGCTTAACCAACTGAGCCACCCAGGCGCCTGACATTTGCTATTTTTGAGGACTATTTTTCACCTCTGTGAATGAAGATAGATTTATATATTTTCCATTACTAAAGTGTGTCTCATTAACATTTTCTAGTTGAACTTGGAAACATGACATCTTCAAGTCAGGTAGCTCTCTACCAAGAAAGCCAATTACATACTTCGTAAGAAGTTATCTTATGAAAGCCAACTTGCTTTCCCCATGAGGTCTCTTATTGTCTGCTATATACAAATCTTTATTAAACTTGATTATAGGCATTTTCTGATCAAGGCACTGGTGGAACCAAGACATAGAGGAGAAAACTATATGCTTTAAGAGAAGGCTAAGAGGGCTGTTTCTTTTTCTGGCTCAATTAGAACTGTACCAATGGTCAAGTCCCATTGATCCTAGTGGGTTGCTACTTTGAAGGCATTACTGGCAGCCCCACTGTAACGTGGAGCAGTCTTGCCACGTTTACTAAGATATGTAACAGCTAAGGTTCAGTGTTAACTTTTATTGTCAGGCAGGCTGTATAAGAAACTGGCATCAAAACAGTATGATACTAGCATAAAAACAGACAAATAGACCAATGGAACAGAATCAGTAGCCCAGAAATAAAACACATCGTATACGGTCAACTAATATTTGATAAGAGAGCCCAGAATACCCAGTGAAGAAAAGACAGTCTCTTTAATAAATGGTGCTGGGATAATGGAATATTCACATGTAAAAGAATGAAACTAGACCCATATCTTATGCCACTCAGAAAAATTAACTCGAATTGATTAAAGACTTAAATGTATGAGAATCCTAGAAGAAAACATAGGACCAAATCTCTTTGACAGAGGTTTTGATAATAACTTTTTTTTTTAGATATACCTAAAGAACAAGCAACAAAATAAAAAACAAGTGGACCTCTATCAAACTAAAAAGCTTCTGCACAGCAAAAGAAACCACCAACAAAGTGAGAAGACAATCCATGGAATGGGAAAAAAATATTTGCAAACCATCTATCTTCTAATAAGGGATTAATATCCAAAATATATAAAGAACTCATACACTCAATAGCAAAAAAGCAAATAACCCAATTAAAAAATTGGCAAAGGACCTGATTCTACATTTCTTCAAAGAAGCTAGACAAGGCTCAGCATCATCAGGGACATGCAGGTTGAAACCACATTGAAATATCACCTCAGGCCTGTTAGAATGGCCATCACCAAAAAGACAGGAGGTTACAAATGCTGGTGAGGATGTGGAGGAAAGGGAACCCTTGTGCACCCTGGGGTAATTGTAAAATGGTGCAGTCACTGCAGTATGGAGGTTCCTTGAAAAATTAAAAATAGAACAACCATATGATCCAGCAGTTCCACTTCTGGGAATATTTCAAAGGAAACAACATGGAAACAGCCTAAGTGTCCACTGATGGATGAATGTATAAAGAAGTTGTGATATGTGTGTATGTGTATATAAATATATATAATTCAGCCATAAAAAGAGGAAGTCCTACCATTTGTGGCAACATGGATGGACCCTGACAGCATTATGCTAAGGGAGATAAGTCAGAGAAAGACAAAAATTGAATGATCTCACGTATATGTGGAATCCAAGAAAACCCTGCAAATTTATAGAAAAAAGAGATGAGACCTGCGGTTAGCAGGGGTAGGGGAAACCAGAGGAAGGTGGACAAAGGTACAGATTTCCAAGTTACCAGATAAATAAATACAATATAATGACTAGAGCTGACACTGCTGTATGATACACAGTTAAAGTTGTTAAGAGGGTAGAGCCTAAGAGTCCTCATCACAAGGAGAAAATATTTGCCCCTTCTTTCCTTCTTTCCTCTTGTTGCGTCTGTATGAGGAGGTGGGTGTTTGCCCAAGCTCTCGTGGTCATCATTTCACAACATATGGGAATCAAACCGTCATGCCATATGCCTTAAACTTACACGGTGATGTGTGTCAATTATTTCTCCATAAAACTGGGGAGATAAAAGAAATTGGTGTGGCTTTTGCTTTGATTTATGAAAAGGTTGCTACATGAAGAAGATATCACATAAAACAGCACTGTGGTAGCAGTGTTATTAGATGCAGTTGTAAGTATAGCAAGTAATGACTGACTAATTAGGCTCATTATCTTCTTCCTACATTCTGTTCTTTGGATGGGGTGGGCCCTCTTAGCAATACAGTATCTTCCTTGCTTTCTCTTGGATTAGCATGTTTCTCCAAAGGTTTCCTCTTAACAGGAGCGTGCAGTGTGATGCTGGTCGTCTAAGAGGGGATCATTAAGTAGTCGACTTGATGGTTCAGTTATCCCACAGTGACAGCATTGAGTAATTACCTATTGGTTTTGCCTCAGGGCGCACGTGCGTGCATACTCTCCCACACAAACACCACAGAGGGAAGGACTCTGAAATTCTGGCTCCTGAATATCAGCAACAGCTCCAAGTAGTAGCAGGTGGCTCTTCTGGAAAATGGCACCTATAGCTTCTTGCTCAATAGGACTTTGTCCCCAAGGAGAATAGTCATTACTCTGCCTCGGTTTTTTAGTTTCAGTGCACTTTGGTATGGTGGAGTGTCTTTTATGCTGTAAAAATTTTCCTTCCCTTTGAAATCTTTGTTTGGTCTTTCTAGTTCCAGTTGCGTCTTAATATGCAAGAAAGGCAGCTGTGTTTTCTTTTAAGCAAATATAATTGTGGGGGAAGGCGTCTCTGTTTATCCCATGGACAAATACATTATGGATAATGCCAAAAAAAAAGCTTGGGACCCCAGAAAAAATATGTAAATCTTTTCAATTCTCTCTAAAGCAGATAAGTGCTGCCCTTTATATGGCCGTCTCCTGCACTAGCATTTTCTTTAGAGCCAGCAGCTGTGGGGGACTAGGGACAAACACATGCACAGGAGAAATGACCACGTTTCCTTCAGTTCCCACGTATAGACAGAGATGCACTGTGTCTCTTCTGGCCTCTGTCCATATTTCAGGCAGCCACGTTCCTAGTTATTGGAACCTACTGCCTCCATTTTGATAAATTATTTTTGAGGCCTTTGTGTGCCATTTATCGAATGAACTTCTGGCAAGGTTTTGCCATTTGCTGATCTTCTTTTGACTTGTTTATCCAGAGAGATCCTTTGTGCAAGTGTGGGAGACGATCCTGTCTTAAGCTATGGAATGAGAGAACAGAGGCAGAAGCATATATGAGTTATCCTTGGGAACAGAACACGGGCCTGGCCCAGGCAGGTTGCATTTAATAGCTTCTTGTTGCCTGGAAGGCTTCCGTCCCTGGAATGGCCCAGAGTGATCAGGCAGGCCCCTGTCATAAAGCCCCAAGCACAGCAGCGGCTGGGGAGAATCACATTTGGCCCACAGCGGCTGGCAGGAAGACCATGCCCAGGAAGTCCTGCTCTCCGAGGTGGAGGGAGTCAAACTGGGAAGGTTGGATGCGAGATGGTGTAATTAACGGCTTCCTGGAGAAGAGGGAGCAATAATATTGGAAGCCAAATGGACGAGTATGTTAATGTATGGGGAAGGTACTCCTAAAATGCTCATGCAGGTGATCTAGTGATTGTCATGAAACTTTATTTTAAACGCATACTTTAAAAAGTTTAAATGCTGAATCTGAACCTCCTATCAGCTTTAAAAACAACCACAGTTAAGATCCAGCTTGAACATTAATAGGGCCCTACTCTTTTTCTCCAGGAAGGAAAGAAATAGACTAAGCTCAGATGATTTTTCTTGGTTTTGCTCACATTTTAGAGGGATGTGGAATGAGTCAGGAAGGGGTATTATCTGGTCTCTTGCTTACTTTCAGAAGCCTGGGCTTTTGTACGGCAAAGGGCTCACTGGAAGAAAGCTAGGCCTCTTGTGAATTTCGACATCACAGACTACTCAGCCTTCACTGCAGGACCTAGGAGAGTGCAGAACCAAGAGGGTCAGACCCCGTGCTAAAGCTAGAACACCGGGGCAAACTTTAGAGCAAAGGAACACAAATAAATTTGGTTTCAGGCACAAACTCCAGCTGATTATAGTGACCTCCCCGCAGTATGTTGTTGAGAAGGGTTCTGAGGCTATGACGAGGCTCCGCCTGGACTGTCATGATTGATGAGTGACGTCCAGCATTGGCATGAGCAGTGAGAGAGTTGGCATGTTTCCTTGATATTTGCTGCCCGGCTTTAGAAGCATATATAAGAATCTCTTTACTCCCTGACTGACAGTGCCTAAACCAGAAATAGGAAGGAGGAGAATGGGGAGGGAGCAAGAAAGGCTACAATTCTAATATCTTTTCTCAAAAAAACCTTTTTTCCCCTCTGTTCTCTTTTCACCTTTCCTCCTACCAGCAGGTTTAGTGAAATGAAATACCACAAACCAAGACTCTATTTTGTTACCTCTTGTCCTGGTGTGGCTCGTCGTAGGAGAGCCCATTTCTTTTGCCTCACGTCAGCTACCTGAGCACCACTGAAACTATTCCTGGCATTTGCAGGGACCTAAGAAATAAGCAGGAAAGAAACAACTGTTGGTAAAATGTCCTTCATGTGCAGTCATATCTAACATTTTCTTTGTAGTGAAGAGGAGAATATATTAACATTCCACTTTGATTAGCATTTGTAATACATGCAAAGATATTAACCTTCAGTACATTTCTGAAATAGTGTCTCCTGGGCCGAAGCCTTAGTTTTCAAGTAGGGAAATAAGACTTGAATCAAATGACCTCTTTCCTAAATACTGAGAGTAGTAAGGCTCCATCTGTTAAGTGATTCTTCCTTCAGTCTAAATATTGGCATTATAGCTAATATCAGAGATCGCAAAGTGGTAAAAATTTATGGTATTTGGTAGAAGTTAATATTATACTTGATTTATCATTGTGTTGAAAAGTTTTCAGGGGCTCCTGGGTGGCCAGTCAGTTAAGCGTCTGACTCTTGATCTCAGCTCAGATCTTGATCTTAGGGTCATGAGTTCAAGCCCTGCATTGGGCGTGGAGCCTACTTAGAAAACAAAACCAAAAAAAAGTTTTCACAAAACCTTAGCGCTTTATTTCACTGTGTGATTGTGGTAAATTATCTAATTAATTTATTCCCTTTGAATAACCACACCAGCTATTCAGACCTGAAACTGAAGTTATAATCCTGAGCAGTACTTAAGACCTTCCTCTTTCAAGATTCTTCAGTCCTAACTCCAGCTGAAGTTGCCGGCCACAATCAGGCAGTTTTTGACAGCTTACATTGATCAGATTAGGCAGAAAAGTCTAAAATTTCTCCTTCATGACATGCTGTATAGCCACAGCCATTATATACTTCTTAGCATGATATGAAATTATATATATAGAGAGAGAGATGGCAAAACTCTAAATTTTATAAGCTTTTTACATCATAAGTTAGTCATGTGCAACTAATTTCTGAGCAGGAATCAATCCACAGATATCTGTTGTGCTGTTCTGTTTGTGTGTGTGTGTGTGTGTGTGTGTAGGGATCCCTGGGTCTCTCGTCTGTCCTTCACAAGGGCTGCTCGTTCAGGTGCAGGGAAGACCACTTCTAATTTCTGATCTGGGTTTTCTTTGCATCCCATATTAGAGAGAAGAGAACCGTCCCAGCCGTCCTTTTCCCCATCCCCAGCTTGTGGACTGCGCTCCAACACTGTTAGGGTCACTGTCTGTCGATTTCAGACCATTTGGAAATGAAATCATAGTACTCTCCTATTTCTCCCTGCTCCTCAGTGTCCTTTGGTGGTTAAAGTTTTTGAGGGTGGGGTGGGGGACCAGATCTCACAGCATGAATAAACTGAAAAATGTTACCCAACATTTTTAATTAACACTGGCACTTCTAGGCTTCCTGCTGAGGACTGCCGACTTGACTTTACAAAATGACATTTATGACACTAAAGATACGGAAACTCACTGAAAGAGGCTGAAAACCAGTTCCTGGCCTGTTTGAATACTGGTTTAATGGTAATGGAACTTCAGCTGTGTGTTGTCGATTATTCTTGAAATGCCCAACTTGTTTTAGACAGGCTTTTGCTACTATGAAAGCTAATTAAAGCAGTTTGCCACCAATTCCACTGAGTTCCCCTCCCTGCCTAGTCACAGGTAGCAGCCCTGCCACCAGCAGTGGGCAACTCTGTGCCAAGAGTAATTACTTCAAATACAATTCCGTTTATTCAAAGGGACGACTGTTGCTCCCCGTGAGAACTTTGTTGAGAAAAGAAAAGATACATAGGTTTATGTTAATTGTATACCCCATGCTGGAAGTTTGATTTTAACATGAGTGCAGCTTTTTAGTCCCTTTATCAAAATACATGCAGGAGCCTTATTTTGCCACCACCTGAACACTTTGTGGGCACCTTCACGTTGTATGAACAGTCAGCAGCTCTCACATGGATTAGATTCTAGAACTTGATTTTTAAGTTGGTTGTTTGAAAGTGGAGCTTCGTTTAGCTTTGGACATAAGGTGATAACTAATAAGTTCCCAGAATAACGTACTGAAGTTTATTAGACAATACAATATTAATAATAATATTCGTATTCATTAAAAGCTTACTCTGTGCCAGGCATTGCATTGAGAGCTTAAACGTCACCTTACTAATCTTTACAACAATCTGAAATAGTGGGAACAACGTGCTGATTGTTCCTAGATGATGTGTACAAAAAATCAGTGGATTTGGCCACTTTGGTGTGAATAAAAGCGCATGGATGGAAAGTAGGGCAGGCGAGGTGGTTGTTGTAAGCATAGTATTTCTCAGAGCTGTGCTTTCACCGATATGTCATTGTTTAGATTTAAATTGTTTAGATATAAATTTATTAAAATTAAGTAAAATTTAAAATGCATTCCCTTTGCCTTGGTCACCTATCAGGTGCTCAGTAGCACCATGTGGCTGTCACCACAGTGCTGGACTGCATAGGTATAGGACATTCCCATCATCACAGAAAGTCCTGTTGGAGAGACTATTGGAATGCTAGTGACAATGATGTAGTCAAGAAAGAGATTGAAGACGGAGGAAGAAATCCCACTAGAAAGTAGGGTAGGGGAAGGTAAGAATGGAATCCATGTGTAGGAATTGCCTTTCTTTTTACAAAAGAAGGGACTCTGGGATGGGTTAGCCTGATGATGGGTATTAAAGAGGGCACGTACTGAGTGGAGCACTGGGTGTTATATGCAAACAGTGAATCATGGAATACTACATCAAAAACTAATGATGTATGGTGATTAACATAACATAATTAAAAAAAAAAAAAAGAAGGGACTCTTCCTCCAAAGTAACACTAGAAAAGGTGCAGATCCAGTGTTTATAGTGGGAAGATAAAGGAGTTCTCTCTTGGTTTCTGTTTTTCTCCAGCATAACATAGACAAATGGCCAAGCGTGAAAGAGGAAGGAAAGGGGTGAGATTTGGGGGGGGGGGGAGGGGAAGGTTGAAGATGGGATAAAATGATCATTGTAAATGGGGTGAGAGTAAATTTATCACAGAAGTATAAAAGTATGGCAGGCAGAATTTAGTGTCTGCTTATGAATTTATAATGATTCAAGTTTCCCTGGTTTATGTGATTTTTCCCCAGAAACACTCAACTGGAGAGCTGTATTAAGGGACATTCATAAGGCAGACGTTCATAGATTGGGGCTGTGTGTAATGGCTTAGATTAATACTGCTGAATTGGAACCCTTAGGGAGATGTAAAACTAATGGAGCTCAGCATGGTGAATCCAATCCAGGACATGAATTGAGAAATGCATTGTTTAGTCCTGCAGTAATACATCATTATCCCTTTATATAGGAATCATTGAGATTCCACCTCTGAAATACTCATGTATGAGGCTCATCATAATCATTTGGAGAATTTGTATAGCAGGCTGTTGTTTTCTGTACTTCATGGTTGGTCTTGTTAATTTCAGTCTCAGCAGCAGCCTAGAATGTTAAGCCAATTTGCTAAATCTTGCCTGGCCTCTGAAAAATGCTTAAATCCATTTATGTAACACAAGGGGTTGAGGTTATATGATGTGTTAGAATTTAATGCCTTCTTATGGCATCAGTACTGAATACTTTGGTTAATCAGAACCAAAAAAAGAAACATGTTAGAATTTTTAAATTAAGGAGTAATTGTGTTGTTGATGTTTCATAGGCGTGCGTGTAGTTCAATGTGATTATACATCCCATATAAACTTTCCACTTTCATTAGCTATAAAATGCTTGAAGGTGTAGCCCTCATTTATGGGGTATTAAATAGGGAAATATTAGTTACTTGAATTCATAATGTACTTTTCTTCTAAAACTTGGTCAATCATGTGATTAGTTGTGCTTAATGCTAGAGATGAAATGGATTATCAGCAACTTACCTTCTAAGTTCTTTCTTTTCCCTACCAGTTACATTAAACATCCATTTCCCAAATACAAAGAGACTTTTTCCCCCCCTCATTTCTGGGACTTCCAGGGAATTAAGAGGTTAATATTTATAATACTGAGTTTCAGAGATGCAAGGCACTGTGTACAAAGTCATGTTTGAGCATTTCTTGTAAGCCTCTATGCTCCAACCCTTTGAAGTGGATTTAGTTCCTGTGGAAACTTATCACTGTGGTGTAGGTAGTGCCCTTACCCACAGTGAAAAATAAAATAAATTCAGAGTATGATTGTATAATTTTATAACATGGCTTGGGAAGTGGACATTAGGAATATGTGTAGTTGTGCTCTTTAGCTGTTTAGATTGTGTTTGAAAACAACCTTGGATACATCACCATCTGTCCTTCACATTGAAGCCAGAATAGGTATAAATAGTGGTTTAGTAGAAGTTTTAGTGGGTTCTTTTTCTCCCAACACCACAAATAGTAGCTTGTTGAGGAGGCAAAGGATATGAGAAATATTTCAAAAGTAAAATTAGTTACTGGAGGTGAAGAGGGAGAAGTAAGAATACTGATTGCCTCCTACGAAAGGTTGGCATTTTACAGGGTATGCAGCTGGTAGAATTGACGTTGATGAGCTTGAAGAGGAGGCAGCGGAGGGCAGAGAGACTATTCTGAGGGTAATAGTAATAGTAGTATGTGCATAAACTGTTAGCTTAGCCTAGGGTGCTGTTAAGGCGAACTGAGCAATGGTTGAAAGTGAAAAGACTTTTCAAAGGAAGAACTAACAATCTCAGTGACTTCTGGAATATAAAGTATTAAGAGCACAAAAGAACAAAAATGTAATGCCTACTGATAAGCTAACGGTATTGCTATTGGTGAAAAATGGAAGGAAAATCTTGTTTGGGTAAGGAACTGGAAATCAAATAAATTGGACGTATCCAGTTATTGCTTAGTCTAAAGGTCTTTGAGTTAGAAGGAATATAAGAGGGCCACCAGATCTAGTCCCTAGCTTCAGGTAGGGAAGATTACCATCTGTGTATTTTATAAAGAACTGATGCCCAAAGAAGCCAAAGGTCACACAGCTACTAACTGATGGAGAGCAACTAGAAAACCCATTCTATCACACAGAAAGCAATGGGAAACCCCCCAAAGAGGGAAGGATAACTCCATCTGGAACCCCAGAAGAACAACAGGGGCAAAGACCTGAGCTTTGGGGATCACACACAACTAAGACAGGGAGGGAGGTGGGGAAAGCGCAGTGAAAACCATAGGGAAGGGACCAACCTCCCTGATAGACAAGGATTTCATGGATGGAGCCAGCTTCCAGGCTTTCCACTCGTGTTACATTTTACTCCCAATGGCTTACCCCATAACTTAAAATAATCGGGTGGTTTCTCAGTCCTTCTTTCTCACAAGGTTGCTGAGATACTAAACCAGAAGGGCTGTGCTGAAGGCTGACATGTGTGAAGGCATTGTGAATTATTTCCCAGTTCACATTTTTGTTTCTGTGTAGAGTTGGCATGTGGGATTTCTTACCTGGTGTCTCGGTGCTGTTAAGTGCTACGGATTCACAGAAACGGGTTTTGGTGCTTAGGCAGCCTGAGGGAAAGCAACCTTTCTTTTAGCAGTTTTTCAGGGCATACAGTATCTGTAGATAATATGGCATTGTAATCTTTAAAATGAATTATTTCTTGATAAGCAACATATGCCTGTGATAGAAGATTTGAATGTCACATGCAAAAGTAGACCACCTCCTTAAGTCCATGACTTCCTATCCAAGTCCTCTTCTTTGAAGCAACTCCCGTTACCAGTTGTGTGTCTTTTTCAGATACATCCTGTGCATATATTAGCATATGCATGTTACATGATTTTAAATCGAACTTGAGTACATGATGAGCTTACAGAGAAGAAGTAACTGTTGTTGACTAACACCCATAAACTCCTCTTTTTCAAATGTACTTTATGCCAGGCTTTCTCCATCTTCTGTTAACCATTAGTCAACCATTACTTTCACTGCATGTCTATTTTGGAGAGCAAGAAGGGGCTCAAAATGAACGTACGAGACACAGTGTGAGCGTGAGGACAAGACCTATTGGTAAATGCACACATCGATCCCTGCCTCCAATGCATTTACTTTATATATAAAAGAAGAGCTGTGGTGGGAAATCCAGCGTGGGGGGAGGGGGTACAGGAGGGTCTCCGGCCGTTCCCTCGTTAGCATCAAGCATCGCTTGGTCTTCCCAGACACCACTGCGTGCCTGGCCAGTCGGCACACTCTGGGTTTGCAGGGCTGTCTCTGCTCTTCCGCCACCAGCACCTAGGGACACCTTTAGGAGGAGGATCCCTCTTCTGTACTCACAAGAGTTCCATTTCTGTCACGTGCTTCCACTAGCCATTGAGGTTTCTCAGACAGACAGACTTCTCCCCCTGCACCTCGCCAACCTCATTTTTTGTATTCTTGACAGTGGACTTCTTGCTTTAACCAGGAAATCTGTGTTTGTGATTGCACCACGTCTGCAAGGACCGGGCCCTCCATTCTGCCCTTCTTGCCTTCCCTTAAAGGACTATTGAAAACTCTCCTTTTTTCACACAGCCTTCCCGATTTCCTGACTTCTGAGCACACCTTCACTCATGACTGCCCTTGATGGGAATTCCTTTTCTCCTAGAATGTGTCTGTTGGAAGTGTTTGGCTTTCTGATCTTACGTAAATTTCCACAGGAATCATTGGAAGAAAAAGTTTATTAGTGACATCACTGCCTTTACTTCCTTTACTTTTCCGTCCCCTCCCTTAACTGCCTAAGCCTTTCCCGTTCTTTAAGACCCTACTGAAATTCTTTCATCTCATCTACGACCTCCACATCTTCAGCCAGATGTAATCTTCCCCTTTCATATTTTTCCCTTTTTCCCATCCAGTTGTACCCCGTTAAAGTAGCTCCCTCCATTTCTCTTACTGCTCGTTCCTGAAATTGTTTCTCCAAATGGCGAGGGATCAAATGCCATGGCTTTTATCAGCCGCCTTGTTGACAGTCTCCTCTGTCGTGAGGCTCAGCCCTCCCCAGCTCCCCTGCCTGGGACAGTGTGTTGCATGGGTTCTTCCCTGTACTCTCAGCTCTGGGGCCGCCCCACTCCCTTCCCTGCTTCTCTCCCCCTCCCTGGAGGCTGCAGTTCTGTCCCAGTGCCCCCAGTGTCTTGCTCAGGGATTTCTCTGTGCTTGCAGCCCTGCCCCACGCTCAGGTCCAGCTCCACCCCCCGCGCTCAGGTCCAGCTCCACCCCTGTCCACCTGGGGTTCCTGGCATCCTTAAGCACTTTCATTCTGTAAATCCTCGGGCCTAAGCCATGTGTGTGTCGTTCAGTCTTTCCTCTTCTTAACTCTGTGTCCGTCTGCTAACACGTCCTTCCATTCCTGCTTTCCAAGGCTGCCCTTCTGGCCTGTTTCTGTACCTGGGGAGTGCCCTGCTGGCCTCCCAGCCTAGGCAGGTCCCTCTGCCGTCTATCTGGTCTATTCAGAACAGATCCATCTTTTCACAGTGGCACCTTTATAACTTCACCCCCTCATTTGGAAAGGCTGGTGGCTTGCCATCAGCTGCAGAGTAGACTCTAAGCTGCTGTCTGTTACAGGCAGTCTCTCCCAGTCCCAGCCCCTTCCTTTCCAGCATCGCCTCTCACCTCTGCAAGCGCTGCCTCCAGCCTGAGTCCCCTAAAGGAGCCTGGCTCCACTGAGCCTGGACTGGGGCTCACACACCCCCCAGCAAATGACCTCTTGCAGTCCCACCCTTCATTCAAGAGTCTTCTATTATCCCATCTCCTTTTCCGTGGACTTCCACACTACCCCCATCCGGGAAAGACCACTCCCTCCTCAGAACAGTATAGCACCTTTCCTTGGCACCCTCATTGCCTTGGGCTTGACTTCTGCGAGCGTGTGTCTTTAACGAGTGTGTGTTTTTCTCCTTCCTTTTGTTTCTACACACCCTTTAGCACCCCCTTCACAGTGTGTACACGGTGGCCAGCACGGTGATGCCCATGTGGCTTTTCCCTGCCTGGCTGCCCTGTGTTCTTGGAGCTCCGCCGGTGTGGCCTGGTGATCCCATTCAGGGATTTCCCGCATCCAGTGGCAATGCTTACGCACTCTGCCCTTCAAGAACCAACAACGGGCTTAGCTCCAGCTGCTTCCCACCTGCGACTCCCCCCTCCCCTCCTCGTTCCTGGCACTCTGACACTTAGAGGGCAAATCAGTAGGGGTGATTTTTTCTTTCCTTCACTTGTCACTAAAATAAATACATTCGCAATTCTTACAGTTAAGAGAGCCAGCCACATGCCTTCCTGGGTGTATCTGGGAGTCGGCTCTTGCTTTCCCAGTGCAGTGGAGGAAGGAGTCTCCCTTCAAGTGATGCAGCACACTGTGTCACTACAGACTTAACATTTGTTCTTCACCTAGTTGTGTTAGGGTGTGCCACAGTCCGCACTGAGCTCTGTGACAGTTTTGAAATTTTAAAAATGAAGCTATTCTTGACTTCTCTTAGTAGGAAAAGCACTCTTTCACACGTGATCACAGCAGGGAAGAGGTGGGGGTAGTGGGATGTATTTTTATGCTCGGGTGACTCAAATGGGATTTCACCATACATCTCACCCCGCCCCGCCCCCAAGCATCCCCTCAGCTGAAGAGCATAAGAAATCCATCCGAAAGGGTAATTCTTTTTAAAAAATTTTTAAGTGTCTAAAAATAGGAGCTTAACATGAATGTGTACGCTCAACCATATTTCTGTGCAGACTGCTGGTACCATACTACTCAACTAGAAGATTCTGTGACTCTATGCTATTATAGTAGTTAGATCTCGTTGATGAAAATGATATAATAAGGCCTAAGAAATATATATTTCTCCAAAATATGGAAGGATTATCTCTGGGAGGTTGTATTCAGTGTTTCATTACATTTGCTTGGAGAGTCTTGGATTCATTGCGCGTATGCTCCGTCAGAAAAAACCTGCTAAATTGCCAGGACTGGTGCCTGCCTTTTGGTTGTACTGGGGACAGCCACACTGGCTATAGCCAGTTCTTTCTCTTCTGAACTTGAGGACTTTCTGCGGGAAGAATGGGCGATGAAGAGAAGTAGTATAATATCCCCCTTCTAGAAATTGCAATGTGAAAGTTGTCTTGGAAAACAAAGGCCACAGTTTGTTTGCATGGTCTAGAATGTACAGCCTCCCCTTTGCATTGTCCTTCCCCATGGGCTGGTTGGAATGCTCAGCTACACCCTTTGCTTTTGCTCCACTGAAACTCATCTGGCCCCAGAAATCTTTCTTCCTCCTCCATGATTTCCCTATAATTCTGGTATATTCTTTTGCTTCCCAGTATCTTTCTACCTTCCCCATCTTATCCCCGTTCCTCCTGTCTCCCTCCTACCTCCAAATTTGGGCATTGATCCAGGACCAAATTATCCAGTTTAATCTCCTTGGCCATATCAAGTAATAAAGCAATAGAGTCATTACAAAAGTCATTCCCAAATAGGAAAAACAATGAAGGCTGAAGAGTCATTTTAGCACCAATGGAGAGTTACCACCAGAGCTCTCCTACTAAGACAGCAAATGGGAACTTTTCTCAACATTTGTTTATTGTTGGTAGGTCTAAAATTGTGCTCTGGCTTCTGATTATTTCCTTGTGGATTCCTACTTGACTCAGAATGTATAAGCTCTAACTCTGTACAGCTAATTCCACCTTTCCAAACCAAGCCTGAGTCAGCAAGTGTCACGAACACAAATACCAAGCTTTTCTCTAGGGGGAAGTAGAGGAGTTCAGAAGGCTTGGAGTCACCAGGTTATGGGTGTATTTATATCCCCAAGGTCAAAGGAGGTCTCTCCTCTCCATCTCTGAATCTGTCTCTCTAGTATAGATACACTGGACAGATCTTCAGCAGGCTCTAAAGTTGCTTCGAGAAAATCATAAGGCCAGTTCTTGCTTCCTGTTCACTAGTGATAGATGTCCTCTTGTCTAAAACACTATATTCCGTTTCTGTCCTATCCCAAACCAGATCTCCGGGTTTGTTTAGCACTATGTTTACAATTATATTACCTCTCAATCTCATTATAAGACATGTGCAATTTGTCTCTCCCCACCCCCATTAGACTTTGAGCTATCTGAAGGCAAAGATCATATCTTATTCAGACCCTATCATAGTGAATGGCATTTAATGAATGCTTAATAATATCTGTTATTGGAATAACAGAATGGATGAAAGAATGAATGAACCAGCCAACCCTCATATTTTCCATTCTTAGACCAATTTTAGTGAACATTCCAAAGTAACAGGATAGGGGAAATAGAAATCACTCATAAAGTCTGGGGGACAAAATAAATTAACTTGTGTTGGCATAAGTTCAATGTATTATATATAGGTATACACATATTGTATGCGCAGGATTAACATTTTGTAAGTAGTTTAATTAAACAGTTACTTTACCAAATCAGGTGAGAGTAAATGCCATGCTTTTCTTTAGTTGTACTTATACTATTAATAATAATGCATTTCTTCACCTTGAAGCCTTATTGAGATATTTCAAATAAAAATAATTTGGTGTATTAAGATGGCTTGGTCTCGCTCACACAGTGATGTATCCCTTGGAGATTCACATTTAACATTTGGCCCTGGATATCTCTGCATTCCATGGCTTGTAGGTTTTTTAAGGGACAGAGAATGCTTCTGCAGATAGTACAGTTCTTATAAACAAGGGCCGCTTCTATGAACTGCGATTCTGTTTTGTTCCTACTGTGTGGATGCAGGAGGTGATGTTTCTAGTCAGGATTCTTGTGTAAACTGCTGTTGTCTCAGGCACTGCTAAAGCAAAGAGCTGCATTGTTAACCCACTAGTCCCTGTTTTTATTACAGCGTTATTACTTGGCATTTATTAAGCAATAACAATATTCCAAGCATCGTTAAGAAAGAAAGGGAGAAAGGGAAGGATGGCTTATACTTGTCTAAATTAAGGCTCACTCAGTGCAATATGTTAGCTCAAGCATTTCGCCTAATGAGAAGATTGTGTGAGTTTGAGAAAGCAACATCTCATGAGTCCTGGGTTGTTCCAAAGAAAGTGTGATTGGAAGTTGATTTGGGGTCCTTTCAGGTTGAGTTAATGTTGGCCTCATTTATGTTCTGTGTCCCTAAACTCTGTATAATTATTGCCTCTTATTCCAGATACCTTTTATGTAAGTAAGAAATATTTTATCTCTCTTTTTGAGATGTATGCCTTGCTGCACATAGCCCAAATGTGTCAAGGGTACCATGATGTGGTAGAAAATTGAAATTAGCCAACTGATTGTTCTTCTCTGCCTCATACCTGATGCCTCACTTCACAAATCTTTTCAACCAAATAAATAACTATTTCTTGTCCAAGACATTATTACTTGGAGAAATTTTCTGGGAAAGTTTTTTTTTTTTACTAATATTAAGTGGCCATTAGTCTTTCTAGGTTACCAGATTTTAAGAAAATATTTATAAAACAAAAATGGTTTGTGCCCTTATTCTTCGGAGATACAGCAGAAGATGGCCCCATTTTTCTAAATCCAGACGCTTGTGGGGTGAGTCCATGTAGTAGAATCTCACTCAGGGTATGGTGAAGTTGGCAAGATGTCATGTGGTTCTCTGAAGAGTAGAGTAAGAGCAGTCTGCTCAGGAAGACAATGCAGACATCTGGGAGTCCCATAACGTCAGATATAGTATTGTCCGCTGAGCCCCATGAGAAGGCAGAGTAGCCAGCCCCCACAAGCTTTCACCTGGTCACCTGTTAAGTTCCCACTCTCCTCCTATGTTTACCCTAATGTCCCCATCATTTCCAAGCACTCAATATTACTGAATAAGGAAGGAAAATATATTGCAAAATTGGAAAGCTTTTCACTCACCTTATATTCTGGTGTGTTGGTGTTCATCTGCTTGGGGTGTGTGAGGCCTGTTGGTCTAAGAACAGTGAATCTGTTATATAGAGCACCGCATTATTCATTTTATCTCGGATGGGTGACCAGAGGTCCTGTCTGTGTATTTTTCCAGGTATTAGGCCTTCTACGTGATATGTTAATACTTGTAGGACTGGCAATGTTTTCCTCTCCCTTCCTTGCAGATAGGTCACCTTCCTCCTGTGGATCCAGATTATTGAGTTGTGATACTGACCTCTTTCTCCAAAATCAACCATTAAAATTAAAAATTAAATATTAAAATATTTTCAGATAGATCTTGCTGTTTCAAGCCTTGGGTGTAGAGGATAGAATTCTATAAACTCTGTTGTATCTCTAGCCAAAGCTGAGTTTTTCTTTAACAACACCCAGTTGAATCTGCTAGTTGAATGGAACGGCACTCATTGTGGGTGACGATCGACTCTCCAGCCTGATTGGTTCGTTGAACTGAGTGCTGGACCGGGTGTCCTCAAGGTCAGCGGTCCCTCCTCTGATACGGGGGAGGGCCTCTTGGCATTTTTTGTGTTGAGATGATAGACAACATCATAGCTCACATTCATCATTTTAGAAAATAAATGTTAAAAAAAAAGTCCTCTGCGGGGCACCTGGGTGGCTCAGTTGGTTAAGCGACTGCCTTCGGCTCAGGTCATGATCCTGGAGTCCCAGGATCAAGTCCCGCATCGGGCTCCCTGCTCGGCAGGGAGTCTGCTTCTCCCTCTGACCCTCCTCCCTCTCATGTGCTCTCTCTCATTCTCTCTCTCTCAAATAAATAAATAAAATCTTTTAGGGGCGCCTGGGTGGCTCAGTTGGTTAAGCGACTGCCTTCGGCTCAGGTCATGGTCCTGGAGTCCCGGGATCGAGTCCCGCATTGGGCTCCCTGCTCGGCAGGGAGTCTGCTTCTCCCTCTGACCCTCCTCCCTCTCATGCTCTCTGTATCTCATTCTCTCTCTCTCAAATAAATAAATAAAATCTTCAAAAAAAAAAAAGTCCTCTGCTTTTATTTCACTTTATTTTTTCAGATTTTATAGCAACGTGTATATGGAGACAAGTTGAAACTAAGAAAGCAAGCAGCTTTTGGAGATGTTTGGCCTTTTAAGTGTAATTGAGTTGTCTTTCAGATTTTGCATTGTTAGAAAGAGGCTGTTTACATTTTATTCTGGAAACTATTATTAGGATATTGTAATTTAAGGTAAAATGAAAAAAGTTGAATAGATAATACTTTGAATTAATACTTTCTTCATTGATATTGCATTTTATGATAGCTTTATTATAAATGATGAGTGGTTTATTACATATTTTTAACTATTGGCAATGGGGTTGAGAGCTTTAGTTTTGTATTATAAAAGCAGAAATCCTGACTCCTGGGCTTAACATCTAATGAAATGTTTAATACAGAATAAAATTAAGAGTTTTTGCATTGTGCCATAGGAATTAGAGCTAAAGATTTAACTCCATGGCTGTGTTTGGTGCCTGCTTTTAATGTGGTAGATACCATTTTATGAGATCACCAGATCCCATGAAGGATGCATTGTCGCAACCTGCTAAAAGAATCGGAATTATTTTAGCACCAGCCATTCTCATATCTATCCATCTACCCGTCCATTCCTTCCCTGCCTCCCTTCCTTCCTTCCCTCTCCCTCTCTTCCCTTCTTCCCCTCTATTCCTCCCCCCACTTCCCTCCCTCATCCCCCCCCCACCACCATCACCACTCTATACTTACTGGTCCAGATACAGGGAAAGGGTCCTTTTTTGTGCACCTGTACTCCTAATGAATGATTTCTGTGTTCCCGAGAGTGTTAGGAATTTGTGGCTGCTGATTGTTATTACATGACTTCTTTAGCCTTCTGGTGGAGACTGGCATGAGGAGAGCTGCCTCCATATTTTCTTTCCTTCTCTGAAGTTACCTTATTATCCTTGCCATTTATATTAGCAGAACTAAAAAGATGGGTAAGTAGTTTCCTCAAAATATAAAGCTCAGACCCACATCAAAGAAGTTTCTCAGACATGAAGATGGGGGAAGCAGCAGTGAAACCTGCAGATAGCTCGAAAACAGATGGCCGAGTATCAGGGTGTCACCGAGTCTGAAGAGGAGAGCTGAACACTGCCTATCTCAGCTTCAGTTTTACCGAAATGTTTTTATTTGTCTTTGACCCTTAATTCAACTTACAAGAAATTATCCCCAGGAAAGAATCAGAGACAACAGTAACAATTTATATCCATCTCCATGTTATTTTAAGCACTGAAAAATTAGAAACAGCCCAAATGTATTTCTGTATTCTTTTCTGGGTTTTTTTCTCCCCGGAGTTTATACAATGGCCCTGTCAGTGCAATGAGCAAAATACTTGGATCTGTTTTCTTAGCTGCCTTTTAAGTGAATATTTAGCATTAAACATTAGCAAAGATGGTTTCACCAGCTACAGAATGCCTTACCAGGAGTGATTTTATTCTCTGTTCAAGTCTTTGGCTTTCCAGTTCTCTCGCTGAATACAGTCATCAACCCCCTTGGTCCTCATTGCCACTGTGGGGTGGAGTAGGAAGGGCGAAGGCAGCTGCTGGTGCTTGTGGGAGTGAGGGGAGGAGGAAGGGAACAGAGTGTAGAGTCCAGGAAGGAAAAGGAAAGTGAAGAGGGGCGTAGAGATACGTGGGTCAAAATCCCAGTCATTTCAAGTGACCCCAAAACTGGTTTTTTTTCCTTGTTTTTCATCAATATATATTTTCAAGTATCGACTTTATTCCACCAATTCCTTTTTGCCAAGTATGTTTTTGGATTACTGTTCTATCTCTATTACTGTTTCGAGTTCTCCAGATTTGTATTTCATCTTTGTCTTACATTTCTCATTCACCAGTGCCTTTTTAAATCTTATTTTCATGCAAAGATTAAATTGTTTAAATGTCTCTTGCAGCTAAGATTTAATTTTCCTTCTTAGGTATCTTGAAATTCTGCCCTCCTGTTATTTTTGCCTAGTAGTGGCTTTTTCCATCAGCAGGAAGGAAAGCAGTCAATAGAAATCAATTGCTGACTCAGTGGCTATATGGAGGGCTTACCATAATGCATATTGGAAATGCCTTTAAACCTTTTCCTGAATGGAAGGTGCCATGGCTTGTGTTTTATGGCCTTCTAATGGTGGACGGTAATCTCATTTAGCATTTTCCCAGAGTGAAAACAGTGCATTAGAGTAGCATAACAAGCATTGCAGATCAATACAGAGGCAGAGCTTTGCCCTTACAGATTAATCCAAGAAGAATGTACCAGAGTCTACTCCAGCAACTGGGAGACAATTATGCTGATTTCCACCCCTGTTCCCCCCTTTTCTGCTATCTAATCATCAATACACATTGAAATGTATACAAAAAGGATTTCAGCAGATGTGTGTGTGTGTGTGTGTGTTGTGTATACACACACATAGACCAGACCAGCAGACAGGAAATCAAGGACCCTGGAAGTGAGCAGTATTGATTTGTGGTGATAAAAGTATATTTTGACACATTTCAAATCATAAATAACTCATGGACATTAACTTACATGACTAACAGCTCAACCCAGTAAATGTTTATATACAGCTTAAATTACTTCTTTCTAAGGAGTTCATAGTATTGGATGAATTATTCCATCACAAATAGTTTTTTAAAGAAAAAAAGAAACACCCTCTTCTTTATGATGTGTAGTATGTGGAAGCTCATTCTTTACAATCTTTTTCCTGAATGTTAATGGGGAAGAGCTGAAGAGAAGGTCGGGATTGTTCTCGTCTTCTTTCCCCATCCTCCTTCCTTTGCTTTTAAATCTAAGATATGGTAGAAGAGTCGTGGTCCTCAGCACTAGGATAGAACATAACCCTGTTTTCCCATGAACAGTCCTAGGCATTAGTCATGTATTTGCTGGGTTCAGCTGACGTAATGCTTAATTATATTTTATTCAATATTTATTCAGATGTGTGTCTTGCTATAATCAGTAAGTTTGTGGTGTCTGTGCTTCTGCTTTTCGAAGCATAGCTAACTCCCTTTAGATGCTGATGTTCATGGAAGGGAATTAGGGAAATCCATGTCCAAAAAAATTCATAGACATTAGGAACTTTGAAATCTTAGAGAGAATGGAAACTCCAGGGATTGGTTATAAATTCTGTTCTTAGGTATTTGGCAGAGCAGTAAGGTAGTGTTCAATGAAAAAGTAAAAGTGATGTAATGTAAAAGTTGTGGGATTATTATTATTTTTTTTTCCCTGTATGTCTACTTTCCTTAGAAGGTAGTAAGAAGTAAATTCCCTCAGGGACCAGTAACATGGTTTGCATTTCAGTTTTCTGTACAAGCAAAATATGTATTAGCTTAGTGGGTTGGATAAAAGTAATGAGACAAGTCATCACCCAGGGGTTTCCTTATTGATGAGAAATATTCCCCCTATATTCTCTAGGGTTTTTTTTTTTTTAGAACCCATTTAATATAAAATAATGCTATTTCAAGATTACTACAGAAATAAAAAACTTAAATTGCAAAAAAAGAACTGATATGAAAGACTGGAAGCCTCTTGTACTAAATAAAACTAATTTGAAAAATATGAATTCCTAGATTAAAAGTGATAATATTATGTATTTTTTCTGTGTATGTTTAGTCCTTATAATTCAAGTTCCTCTACCATCTTAACAAGAATATTTCCTTTTCATTGGTATAATTCATTTGGCTGATTTTATTATCATTTTTCAAGTGTATATTTTAAGATTTTTGGAGGCACTTATGTTTGGTAGTGCATATTCACTGAAAGCAAATCTTAACTAAAATCTGAGATTTGTAAGTATAATTAGTAAAATTTTAGCCCAGAAAATTTATAAATGTTTTTTCTCCACCCATTTGTATTCTCAGTAGTTTATTGCATGACTTCTATAACAGTCTTTACTTCTTGGGATTTGCCTCCTAGTAGATGTAGGCTAGTAAATTACACCAGGTTATGGTGTAGTCAGTGTTAAGTGGAAGGTGAAAGAAGTGGTAGAAGAAGCTAATACAGGGTCAGTGGGGTCGCCAAAAAGAGAATAGTAGACTCCACCCTCAATGGAGAGCTAGTGAAGCTGTCTAGAGAAGGTTACACTTCAGTACTTAGCTCAAATATTGAAAGTCGAGTCCTTATTTTCTGGATATATAGGAATGGGTGGGAGTTTGGGTACAGGGCATGTCCAAGATCGAGAGCAGCATGAGCAGAAACATGAAGGGACATGTACAGATCAAACCCTGAAAGTGGTTTGATCAGGCTGAAGCAATGTAGGGAATGAAGGCTGGAGAGTAGGTGGAAACCTGATCCAGAAGGACTTGCCTGGTTCACCTTGCATTTTGTTTAGAAAGCAGTAGGGAGAGATACGGTCTCAGTGTTAGAACCTTCTGGAAGGCAGGAGTAAAGAGGCAAAAACTAAAAGACAGATTAGTTTAGAGGGCTTTGCCTGATTCCAGGATAAAAGTGATTATGAATTAATGTAATGGCAGTGCATATAGAGAAGGAGGACCAGACTGCATTATCTCGAACTTTGCAACCTGTTGGATGTGGGCATGAAAGAGAGAAGTTAAGGCTCTCAGGTTTTTGATTTGGCTGACTAGGCTGAAGAGTATTGGCACCATTCACCTGATTTAGGTATAGGTTTGGTTGGGAATGTTACAGTGTCCGGAGAGGCTCATGCTGGTATCAATTACTGGAACTAATTTCAAAGAAATCATTTTTAGAAACTTTTTTTCTACACTTGCAACATTTATATCTTATGTTTTACATAATCTTTAGCCTTGATCTTCACTCTGATTGAAGACCGTTTGTCTCACTGGTTCCTGTTTTTGTTTGTAGGCGGTATGAGTTTCGTCCTGTCTGTGCTGATCTGCAGGCCAGAATTCTCCAGTGTTACCGCCAGAATTCCCAGCAGACCCTCGGCTGCTCCGCTCTGGCCAGCCAGTACATGCACTGTGTCCGTCAGGCCAAGCAGGTGGGTGCGCAGGCCCCGCTAACTGGGGCACCAGGAGAAAGCAAGCCCGGCATCGTGGGGCAGGGATAAGGACGGAAGAGCTTTATAAGCCAAACTAGTCGTCATCGTCAAAAATTGCCATAACAGGTCCGTTAGTTAGTAATCAACTTCCGTCCAGCTGGTTGTGGGAAGAGCCCATATTCTCCTTGTGTGTAACTCCTTTACTTGCAGGAAAGACAAAGATTCTTACTAAAACAATATTTTTTTCCAGTTGCTTTGAACTTCTGTCCTTTATGATAATTGTGTCCTGAAGGCCATTGCCCCATATTTCTTGGCTAATACTCAAAGCCAGCAAAGAGGAAGGATACAAGTTAAGGGGCCAACAGCTTAGGGTCTGTAAGCAGCAAGCAGTTGTGCAGAGAGCCTGGTTTAGAAATGCAAAAAACAAACAGAAAGCTAAAACAAAAAGCCACCTTTCGAGTTCCATTCAGTCTTCTACCAGTTGGTAGAGCCCACCGGATTGAGAAGGGAAAGTGAGGCCAGAGATGGGATTTAGGCAACACTTTCCATCACTTTTATGTACCGCAGCCATACTCTTCTTTGACCCTCCCCCCCATTCCAGAATAATTCGATGTTCACAGGACAATGTGTTTTCTCTAATTCACGTGCTTTAGAAAGCTAATGATAAACCCTGAAGCAAATGATCAGTTCTGGCAGGTCACATAATTGCCTACCATTTAACTGACTTAACAGTTGGATGTAGGTTGTTCTGACAGAAATTGTTGGAAACCTTGATTCTTTCTGCTGACAGACTCCCTAGAGTTGACCTTCTGACCCAACTAAATCTAGTGTTTGAGTTACACAGCATGCCTTTCTGCAGTCTAATTTGCTGTAGTTATAATAAAACCACTTAGTGTAAATTTCTAACACTATAAATTTCTGATATTTATGGGAGGGTTGGTATTATCTGTGTAGCTGGAAAGTAACATCAACACTAGTAGAAAAAAACATAATCAGGATTTATTAAAAGCCCATGTTTTCTTTAAAAGCCTAGTGGCTTGGGGCACCTGGGTGGCTCAGTCATTAAGCGTCTGCCTTTGGCTCAGGTCATGATCCCAGGGTCCTGGGATCGAGCCCTGCATCGGGCTCCCTGCTCTGCGGGAAGCCTGCTTCTCCCTCTCCCACTCCCCCTGCTTGTGTTCCCTCTCTCGCTGTCTCTCTCTCTCTGTCAAATAAATAAATAAAATCTTTAAAAAAAAAATAAAAAAATAAAAGCCTAGTGGCTTGAGGCTTTCTTCTGTTTCTTGCTTGTAGCTCCAACTGTGTAATTTCTAGTGGCATGCCAGTGATTCTTTTCTTTAAAGGTCTTTGGTAGAAGTAATGTTGCTAATGTTAAGTTAGTACATTTTATTTGTCAAAGACAGCTTCTGATATGCTCTTAACAAGCCCGAACCTTTAATACTGATACTAACTGACGCACCTGGGACCTGCAAGCTGACTCATGGATTTCTCTAACTTGATATTAGTGCCAGTTGAGGAGGGGGTAGTAGTTAGTGCAAAGAACGGCTGTGACAAAGTGTATGTTTCTACACTGGCGTCTGACAAACATGCCTGTTCGCACAATGTGATTTGTAACATTACTCAAGTGGCAACTGCAAGGGTGTATGGGGTTTCAACTTCACCCTGACTATCTGGGTTGTGTTGAATTGTTTGCACCCAGCCCCATGCTATCAGTGGCATATATTTATAGAATAAAACAAAGTTACTTTGTAACAACATCAAATATGCCACACGGTGCAGTAGGGAGTTCAAATTGGGCAGATCTGCGTTTGTATTGAAGCTTTGTCTTTTACTAACTCTGTGACCTTGGGCATTGATTTTTCTCTCTGAATTAGGGTGATGTTATCCCCAGTGTTGTGGGGATTACATTTATGTAAAGTATTGGGTAAATCTTATTTTTTCCTTCTTCCCTCAGTTGTGTTATTTCATTCTGAAACCACTGAACAGATCATCCCAAAGCACCAAATTATTACTAGTGATTCCAAACGAGGACCCCCCCACCCGCCCCAGTCTGCAACACAATTTAATATCCTTTCTGTGAAGTGTGCTTTGAGGTACCTGTTGTTTCACAACTCTTACATTCAAATATTAGGGAGCATATAACACCAGGTAATAATACAAAGATAACTGTACACAAAGTATTTTTACCCTAAGATGGGCAACATTGTAATGGGCAAGAAAACAAGAAGCAATAATACCTTGTATTTCTATAGTACTTTAGATTTCCAGGTGATTTCACATCTATTCTCTTGCTTGTTTTTATGACAACCTGAGATGTAAATAGAGACGGTTTTATTTTCATGGTTTTACAGTTGAGAGACTTGAAACCCAGGGAAGTCATGATGGTCAATGTAACAACTAAACCAAGATACACCTACCATAAAAACAAAAAAATTAAGAATGGTGTTTGGTTTTTGAGTTGGGTGTGAGAAGAGACAGCCATTATCCACTAATACAGAAATAAGGCAATGAGAGAAAATGTCAACGATGATCATGAAGTGAAGAGAAAAACATGAATATCAAATTAAGTCGTAATGGAGACTAAAGGTAATAAATAGGGAGGTGGGATTATAAAGGCCATGGACAAAGGTGCAGCTCAGCAAAAAGGTGCCCTATTTTAAGACCACACCAAAATGGCCACAGGGGGTTAATACCAGCATTTCCTGAGCACTTTTCCTCTCATACCACGTTTCCCTTTTTCTCAGTGTGAAGTTTGTCTAACCTTGTGACCCCTGACTCTGCCCATTGTTAGAAGGGGCTTCAGCGGTATAGTGGTTCTGATCGTCCATGGTAGCCGATCCTGACTGGTCAGCTTCCCTTTTGTGTTCCCTTGTTAAATCCAGAGAACCACCTAGACATGCTAATATGTAGAAAATGGTCAACATGACAACAACCCATTAGGTCATGTTGTCCATTTCCGGCATAGTGCAAGAGTTTTCCCCTTGGAATAATTCCAAGAACGAAATCCACTCCACTTTTAAATGACTCATAAGATTGGGCTTTCACTGGTTCCCTTGAGGCACTGTTCTATAGACTAATAGATTTTGCTGATTGGAAAATTTCCGGATATTCCTTAGCCTTATTTTTCCTTTCTTCATGCATTTACTCATATCAATCTTTCTTCAGCTATTCTTAAACAATTCCTCGTGGGTTGATATGAGACATTTAGACTGTTACTTCTAGTATATTAAGTTATGTATTCTTCATAAGGGTAAAGATAATAAATTGCTGTAATTATTATTTCTAAGACTTAAAAGCTACTGGCTAGCTGTATGAGGTACGCCTTTTAAAAATGTAGGAGGACATCGATTGATAGACTGTGTCTTTTATTTCTCATATCAGCTTAGCTTCATAGCTTTCTATAAACTCCCCAAGATTGAATTACCTGTTCTTACCATGATAACCTGATTCCTATTCAATCTTGGTTCACCTACCTTACAGGAGACTACAGAAGGTGGGAGAGAAATGGGAAGCCAGGGATATTTGCCGCTAGTGGATCAAAATGTACCCAAGTTTTCTTTATCAAAAGGAGGGGAAAGGATAGAGAAAGGGTCCCTCTCAGATCTGCATTGCTCCGTTCCCTGGACACCCCACTGCCCTAATATTTTCTTGCAACATCTGGCTGCTTGGCGGGTAGCATGCTTAGGGGGCAACTCGAAGTATTCCAACTCTTTTCCCAACCCTGCCGCTGACAGGATGGTACAGAAGCTGGCTGGACTCTGGGCAAACATTCTTTGTTCCCTGGAAGGTAGAGTTTTGGGGAAATACTGTAGGTAACATTCCAATCTAGTCACGGTGATCTGGGTTTCAGTTTCTTCTTTGCTAAATTACGGGTTTGAACTAGGTGATCCCTGAGGGCCTTCCAGCTGTGATGCTGTGGGACTAATTCTACTTCCACGCATGAGAGCAAGAGTTTGTGTGCACAGGAACAGAACGACGCACGTCTCTGAGCACATTTCAGTCAAGAGGCATCTCTAGTGTAGGCAGCAGCCCTGCTTTGGGGACCTCCAGCACTTGTGCCTCTGCCTCTTAGATTTTTCTGTCCTCCTTAAATTTGCACTTCTGGTTTTCCTGCATGTTGCCTGGCCTCCCACAGCTATATAGCCTTTCCTTGAAGCTGATGCTCCTGACAGCCCCAGGGAAGCCAAAGTGGTGGAATGAACTAGGAGGGGGTAAAAACAGTTTCTCCAAAGGCAGTGTACTGAGAAACAGCTGTCTCAGCACTACCTGGCAGAATGTAGCCTGCCAGCTAATAAACTCCATTAGAAAATGTAGGCTGTCTACCTCTAGCCAGCCCTAGGCTCCCCTGTTCTACAGTGGCTTTCACCTATACTCCATGGATCGTGGGTGGTAAGGGAGTGTAGAGACAGAGCAGGAAGCCAGGTCAGAAGAGCCAAGGAAAGCCTGGGACTAAAAGCAAGGGCCAGACCCAGGGGATGCCTAAGGACAGAGGTCAGTGTGGAGCCTGAAGTCAGATGACAGAGGCCAGTCAGGAGAAGGTAAACCATCACAGAAGTTTAAGTCAGCAAGGGGGCAGTGGGTCAGTAGCCAAGTAAGCAGCTCAGTTAAAGGAAGGATCTAAACGAGGACATCTTGTAAGTGAGGCAGTGCCTACCTTAGGCCTGTGCTTCCTGCTGGTATCGTTGGGGAGATCAGAACGTCACCCCGTGGTAGTGGAGAGCGTGAGGTCAAGACCCTGGTAAATGAGGCTGGATCTTAATATGACGTTACTTCAGCCCAATGCTAGTGCATTCAGTTCTTCATTTCCAAAATGAAATGGTACTTCCAGTCCATGGGTAACCCCCAAAATAGAAAACCTGAACTAAGATCAGGGCATAGGGAGCGATTTCCTATGGCAGGAAGTGTCAGCCTTCTTAAGGACATTGCATTTTATCTCCCCTGTGAC